GAGCGCCGTGAGGAGAGGATGATGGGGTAATGGCACCAGTAGCCAGCTGTTTGTCAATAAAGTCTTTAAGGGCAACTAACTCCTTTTCAGACAAAGGATAAATATGGCCGAGGGGCGGCGAAGCGCCTTCTTCCAAGTCAATCTTCAAGTCGTAAGGTCTGTGTTCCAGGAGTGAATCTGCAGCAATCTCGTCGAAGACATCTGCAAACTCGGCGTACTCTTCTGGGATTGAAGGATGGAGTGGAGGGACAGTAGGAGTGGTGGAGGAGCGGTCGGCGGCGCGGGCCGCGACCTCTGAGTGGATAGCACGAAGAAGGATGGGCTCCATACCAGCGTCCTTGCAAGCCCTGTTAAAGACTGCAGCACTGACGAGTGCAATGTTGACCTCGGGAGTTTCCAGTTGAGCAGCGAATTGAGAGACCGTAGGGTAAGAATAGATGGGTTCAAAAGGGAATTTAGATGAAAGGGGCTTGGCCCGTAACATCCGAGAGTGGGAGCAAGAGCGAGAGCGAGGTGAGTCCCCAGGAGGGGTCTCCAGAATTGTCGGTGAAACCGACGGTGAAAGTTCCGGTAGCGGAACAGCGACATTTGCAACAACGGGGTTGATAGCAGAAGGCACAGACGTCTGTGGAGAATCAAAGTGTGAAGTGTTGCGGAACGTAATGTTTCAAGATGCCCAGTCAATCAACGGATTGTAGCGGGATAAGAAACTGTAACCTAATACTGCTTTACAAGATGAATCTAAATGAGTAACATAAAATGGTAATAGAAGCAGCTCGCCGGAAGGGAACCAAACGGCAATATTCACCATATCGGTAATGGGTTTAGAAGATAATGAACCATCAAAGAGACGAAGATTAACAGGAGAGATTTTGGTCGTAGGAATAGAATTTTGAGAAACATAACGAGTATCGATGAAAGAGTCAGTAGAACCAGAATCAACAAGAGTAGGAAATTTAAGAAGAGCAGAGATAGGTTCAGCCGGCGCGGCCGAATCGGATAAAGGAAATTCAGTAGTTAAAGATATTACAAGAGATCGTTCAATGGAAGAAAGAGCGGACACGTTGAGATATAACTACCCAGGTGAGGTACGAACCTGATCAACGCAGCTTCCGTTTCGTACCGGGGAACAAGAGCTGCGGACTAGTTTTCCGATTCCTCTTCAACAACCTCAATGGTTGCTTCGGGGGTTTCTTCAACCTCGGCAGCACGGCCCTTCGACTCTCGGGCCTTTCACTTGTTGCAGTCAGCAATCTGATGCTTACCACTGCAGAAGAGACAAAGGTTGTTCTTCATCCTTCTTTCCTTCTCGGAGGGAAGGACTTTACCATCTGCACCTAGATGGTTGAACGCGGGGCGCTGACCACCGGATTGGCCGGAATTCGAAGAGTTCTGGGGCTTACCATTATTGTTAGGCTTACCACCAGAGAAAGGTTTAGGCTTTGGCGTGAACGGCGCCGAAGAGCCAGATGGCTGAGAGTTGTTTTGCTGGTTAGTAGAACCAGTCTTAAAGTCCGAGGAACCCTTCTTCGGGTTCCCAGCAATAAAAGGCTTACCAGCCTTACGCTTTCTAGTTTCTTTGTGTTTCCAATAACGGTTGTCAATACGAAGAACCTCTTGACGATAATCGGCGAGCGGCGCCGGTTCGGGCAAATGCGCCATTTCATCCTTGATGCGTTCAGCTAAACCTCGTCCATAAGCCCATTTCAGAGCAGCAGAATCCCAGTTGGTACTAGCAGCCAGGGTGTTGAATCGGATGTTGTATTTCCGGATGTTCTCGGTTTCCTTCATCTTCAGATTACCGAGAGAATCTTCCGCCTCGCCTTGTGCGTCGTAAATGCCGAAATTGTCCTGAAGCTCCTTTACAAGGGCTTTGAAGGAGAACGTCCAGGCCGGCAGCGAGTCGAGATCCGGGTCTAGGATATCGGTGACAAACCACTCTTTGGCTGACCCACTGAGATAGGAAAGGGTGTAGTTCACCTTCCGTTGGTTGGTGAAGTATTTTGGATGGTCATTAAAGACCAGGGCGAGATTGATGAAGAACGTCTTGAGTTTTCGGGGGTCCGAACCGTCGAATACCTCTGGCTCCTTGACCTTGCTCTTAGATTCAGAGCTGTCAGACGGATGGCTGAGAGCGGCGAGGACGGTACCAAGGGTCTCAATGGAGCCCTTGTTAAGATCATGTACACCGTGTAACCGTGCCAAAGCTACAAGGTGTCTAAGTGCGGAAGACGAGTGGGACAGTAGTGAAGTTATTAACAACACCGCCGTTACGCCGTTAGTCCCCGGAGATCGAGAGTAGAGAAGGGAGGAACTGAGGAGCAGCCAAGTCGGAGCGGCGGTCTCGCCGGTGACGAGGAGCGAGCCAGAGGACGTCTAAGTCCTAAGGTAGAGTAGAACGTACTTCAAGGCGTTGAGCCTGAAGACTTAGAGAGCACAGAGTTAAAGAGGGAATCTAAGTCGATAATTAAACTGAGGAACTACAGTAGCGTACAGGCAGTATTTATATCTACAGAACGGCGCAGCGGTGCAGAGCGCCAGACTAACTACTAGGAGCTATACGAGTAGTACCTGCAGGGTAAAGTAAAAGACAATAAGAAGGGACTAGAACGAAAGGGTATGTGTAGCGAGAAAGAACAATAAGAGTGGATCTTCGGAGTACCGAGCGGCGGAATGGAGGCCCGAGGCATGGACTTGACAGCCCTTGAATCCTGAGAGAAGTTCCAACATAGCACGTTGCTCATTGGAAATGTCAGGAGAGATAGGAGAACGGGGTCCACCAGGTCCACCGGGACCGCCGGGACCACCAGGACCACCAGGTCCACTGGGGTCACCAGGCTCACCACGCGGTAAACCGCCGGAGTCGTCATCCAGATCGTCATGATTGTTGTCGGCGCCCGGATCGTTGGGGTCGACAGGAGGGTCCTGATCGTCGTGATCACCAGCGTCCAGATCGAAGTGAGGAGGCGGGTCACAAGGAGATTCAGAAGCAGCACGACGTTGGGGTTGTTTCCCCGTACGGCGGGCTATGGCTTGGAGAATTGGAGAATCAATTCGAGTAGTAGACTGGCCCCGAGCCGGAGCAACCACGGGGGGTTGTCCATGGTGAGGGGTCAGAACTTGGACAGGTTGCCCGTCACCGGTATACAGAGTGCTGTATTTGAATTGTTGTTCTTCTTCCATGGCTTCAGGAAGAGTTGACGTAGTAGGGACTGTGGCTGGACCGAAACCGCGATTACGGCGACATGGTTGACTGATGGCAGAGATGGATTCGGAGAAAGGGGCAAATGATTGGGCTGTAGTGAAGAAAGTATTTTCTTCGGAGTTAGCTCTAGATTGAGCTCGAGTTTTCGGAGGCATAAAAAATGATATGTCAGTACAACGTTAACGGATTGAGTTTAATTATACTGTTAAGATCATGTACACCATGTAACCGTGCCAAAGCCACAAGGTGTCTAAGTGCGGAAGACGAGTGGGACAGTAGTGAAGTTATTAACAACACCGCCGTTACGCCGTTAGTCCCCGGAGATCGAGAGTATGGAGGGAGGAGCTAAGTAGCAGCTAAGTCGGAGCACGCCTTCCTTCGAGAGGAAATCCTTTTAGCTCAATCTCGTTACAAGGAACACGCTGACAGGAAAAGAATCTCGCACCCGGAGTTCCTGATCGGCTCCGAAGTATTTGTTTTGGCTAAGCATATTTGATCTACTCGTCCTACTGAAAAATTCTCTGAAAAATATCTTGGTCCTTTCAAGGTCATCAGTTGACCTGGTACTTTGTCTTATGAGCTCAAGCTCCCAGATTATCTCCGCCGGATTCACCCGGTCTTCCATGTCTCACAGCTGGAGCTGGTTACGCCGAACCCATTCCTGAATCATACTCCATCTCCTCCACCTCCAATTGAAGTTGATGGTGAAGAGGAGTACAACGTTGCCGAAATCCTTGACTCCAATCTGGACAGAAGGTATAAATGTTGTCCTCTACGTTATTATATTCAGTGGGCCGGTTACGAAGGTACCGACGATGAATTTTCCTGGGTTGCCACTGATGAATTACATGCTGATGAACTGGTACCTGCCTTCCATGCTCGATACCCTCAGAAACCTGGACCTTGATCACAAAAAATCATTTTATTCCTTTTCCCCAATTCCGCCGTACTCCGCCGAAGTTTACTTTGTGCGTTTAGAGGGTAAACACAATGATAGCAAATTGAGTGTTTACTCCTCTCTTTTAATTACTTAATTGTTCTCAATCAACGTCTCACTTGAATCTGTTATTCAAGCTTAAACTACTTATACTTCAAACTAATCATTTCTTACGCCGCTTCGCAGCCCATTCACTTCCCGATTTCAAAACGCGATAACATTTTTTGAATACAAAAAAGCAAAAAAAAGAAAAGGCAAGAAGACAACAAGAGAGGCTACAAGTAAGCTACAAGATTAGGCCGACAGGCCGAAGTCCGATGTCCGTTTACTGCTCTACTCCTCTGCTCTTCCCTTCCCCTTTTCCGATTGCGCCTCCGTTGGCGCCATCCCCTCCTCAACCATCTCCTCCTCCTCTCCTTCTCCATCCTTCTCCGTCTCCTTCTCCTCCACTTCTCTATCTTCTTCTTCTCCCCCTTCCTCCTCACTCTCCTCTACGATCCTCCGCCGCTTCAGCGGTCGCCGCCGCTCGGCAGTCCTCCTCGACAGTCCCGCCATCGCCAGTTCTTCTCCCATGCCCATCAAAGCCATCCTGGTGTCCATGGAGATAAGTCAGGCATGATCATCCTCCTGCCTTCTCAGCAGCTGGCGGAGGTACTGATGGGACTTCGAGCTCACCTCTCGCAGGGCCCGATTGTCGGCAAGGACTTGCGCCATCTGACTTTCGAGGACGGCTAGCCGCTCGCCTATATATTATATACAGCAAATTGCTGAAAGTGAAATAAATAATGTAGATAAACCAATAAATAATTATAAAACTCAGCAACAGTGTAGTCCCTCCATAAAGAAAAGTCCAAGCCCAAGCCCAAGCCCAAGGTGGGTTCCAGACATCGAGTGAACTGGAGTGTTTTTGCGTGCATGGTTTTTTTGAACTTGATTTGCGGCTGTCGGGGTATCCGAAGCACCCGGTGTACTCAAAGTACTAGGAGAACTAGAACTCCAAGTAATCAGGGTCGAGGAACTCGAAGCACTCGAAGCACCCGATGATGAGATTCACAGCGAATTCGTGTTGATCGCTGTAACCATCACATCCAACACAGCCATCTGACCCCACGTAGTGAACTCCTGAGCGGGTCCAGGCCACGAAGGCGAGTACGAAGTACCGTTTGCGGCGAGTTCCAGGAGCGCATTGTACTGCAAAAAGGATGAGGAGCGTCAGTAAAATCAAGTTTATTTATTGTATTAAGAGAACTTGGGAAGTACCTGGACATCGTTATAACTGTGGATGACGATTTGGAGAGCGCTGTTGTCTGCGGAGCAAACGCTGACTTCGTCGAGGCCTCGGATGAAGATGGCTACATGGAGGGGTTGAAGGGATCGCAAGGGGTGCAAAAGGGAAATAAATAAAGCAGTCAGTATCAATTCAAACAACGACCACCTCCATAAAAACACCCACCTTTGAACCCAACACCATCATTATCCAACGTCTTACTAGCACCTTCAGTGATAATCCCATTGCTTCCTTGCCAAACCGGTGATTTCACAGCAGCAGCAGTGATGTTGGTCATTCTACGAACAGACAAAACACAATCACGGGTTAGTAAGAATGATAGAAACAGTAAGAAATAAGCACAAAAAAACTCACAGCGACTTCCAAATAGCAGCCCCCGTAACATCCTTCAACACACTCGACCCCTCGATGTATTTCCCGGAATTATACGTGAACAACCAGCTCGTGGCTGTGAGTGTGCAGTCGGCACTGCTGACGCTGTCTAGGACGATTCCACTGGAGCTGATTTGGAGGTTTTGGATCCATTGGGCGCTGAGGGTGGCGGCGGCGGTGTAGGTAGAGTCGCCTGTGGTTTCGGTGAGGTAGGCAGAGAGGCTAGAGGGAGGGAAAAGGGTGAAGGTAAAGGTAAAGGGGAAGGAGAGATGGGGTGGGGAGGTTAGAATAGGGAAAGAAAGGTTGCGGGAGATGGACTGAAGACATACATGGTGTATAATCTACAATCATATTAGCTCAACCATAATTCACTCAAAATCAAAAAGGAAAAAAACACTCACCCAGTAGTGATCGAGTTGATGCCTGTATCATCACTTGTCGGATGCTATATCATGTTTTAACAAGTCCATGTTTAGAACACCGACAAAGAGGAACGAACAAACGGACCCAGAAAACACTTTCATCAGTAAACCCGCCCGAAAGATCAGACAAAGTCGATTCCAACAAGGACTCACCTCCATAACACGTCCCAGCGATCGTGAAATCCTTGTTGGGTTGTTTTCCTGCTTTAGCGTCTGCTACCGAGACAACACTACACATTGACGAAAAAAAGTAGAAAAAGTTCAGTCTCAGCAAAATCAAACATATACACAACTGCGAGACGTACTAATTCGACACACGGGTCCAGATCGCGACAGCCATAGATAACATTGTCGAGTCCTGATGAGTGTTATTTACCCAATCAACGAACATCCTCAGAAGGGATATGAAACACGAATATCTCACCCCGTATGCTCTGTAAGCATAGTACGAAGCTGTTGCCCACCACCTGTTGTACATTTGAATGTTAATACATGTACAGACCGCTAATAACAAGGGAGTGTGTGGTAGAACGTACATTGCATCATCATTGTACCCATTCGGATCGAAGTTCCGGTACGTCTCGTGAGCCGCAGTGAGGCCATTGATGACTTGGTCCTTGTACACTGTCGAACTAGCTAGATGGTCGAAATTCGCCATGGAGGAGAAGACCTTGGCAGATTGCCAGAAGCCAATACCTATGTGACCGAGGTGATTAATTGATTGAATTGCGATTCATAGGGGAGGGCGTACCATCGAACTGGCTGTTAGACATATCCAACTGAGGGAGGATAGTGTCAATCGCGGATTTTGCGATTGATATGCGTTCAGCGAGGAGGCGGGAGTTGTTGAATTCCTGGATACATATGATCATAACGGATCAGTCATCGAATATAGAACGAAAGAACGCCACTCCGACGCATACCCTCCATGTAGTCGGAACACCCAAATCCTGAGCTGTCATATGCATGCAATTCACCCCATACGCTTCCCGGCCCGGCCCGGAGCGGCCGGACTTCGGAATAATTACCTTGTGACTTATTTATTATTCCGAGCTTTCATCGAGGTCTTATGACTACTGTATTTGGGATGTATATAAGCTAGAATACTTTGTACGTTGTAGTCAAGCTTGAAATCAAGTGTACCACCTTATCCCACTCTTTAATATCTCTTTTACCTTTGCTTCCGAGCTGCTCCGGACTCCCGGATCACAGGAACACCATCTAGGCTACTCATCTTGACATTATATCCTTGCCATTATATTCCCAGGGACACAACAGTGTGTGAAGGGTGTTGCTAATAGCTTCACCGACGTCCCACTCCCAGTGTGTACTACAGGCCAATACTCAGTTCCGGACCTCGGAATTATCCCGGGCCATTCCCGGGCCAGATCCGGCCTCAGAACCTCTATAGCTATTGACCTGTAGGCACGGTCTTGTCATGAGCGAACACCAAGCTCAAACTCGGGAGCAGACCAATGAAGAGTGCGAGGCGAGTCATGAATGATCAAATGTATGGATAGGTGGATGAATGAATGAACATCAATTTATGAGCCTGAGGTTGCTCTGGACTGTGGAGGCAAAGAGGGAGAGAGAGACCCAAAGGTGAAAAAGAAAGCAAAGGTGGCACAAAGAAGAATGAGATATAAAAGGAATGGTAAGAGACGTGCTCAATTAAAAATTTGTTTTTCACATATTACATCAAAAGTTACTATATATAGTAACTTTTGACATTGTTTATCTTGTCTTTCTCCCTTTTCTCCCTCCTTCGACGTCGCTAACTTTGTATGCCCCTGCAACAGATATAGAGGTCATTCTCAACAATACGGATGATTACTCTGACTTTTTCTGCTGAAAATAGACAACATTGCCATAGGATGATCTCGAGAAAGATGAGGAAAAATTAGCAAAAATCTGCAACTTCCAGTAGTAGCGATGGGGATGGATATGGATGGGACAGGATGGGAAAGCTTTCGAACAGAGTATATATGCTGTCAAAGACTCAGGCAGGCTTTGGGAGATACTTGTGCATATCCTGCAGTGTTCTCCATCATCTTTTCGTCAACACCAGTTGGTAAATGTTAGAAAAAATTACTATATTTAGTAACTTTTGATGTAATATAAGTTTTTGAAAAAATCAGGATTTTTAATTGAGCACGTCTACACAGGCGTGCAGTTCTATTAAACTGAGGTTGACCCAGTGATATGTGATGCTGGGCCTCATTAAATTAGTGTTTCCGTAATCCTAACCCCGGCCTCATTTGCGATTTTTTTGTGCTGGGGATGTGTCAAGTCCATGCCTCGGGCCTCCATTCCACCGCTCGGCACTCCGAAGATCCACCTTTATTGTAATCTTACTCTTATTGTTCTTTCTCGCTACACATACCCTTTCGTTCTAGTCCCTCTTTATTGTCTTTTACTTTACTCTGCAGGTACTACTCGTATAGCTCCTAGTAGTTAGTCTGGCGCTCCGCACCGCTGCGCCGCTCCGTAGATATAAATAATGCCTGTACGCTACTGTAGTTCCTCAGTTTAATTATCGACTTAGATCAACTTAGATCTCCCTTCTCAACTTAACTCTTCTCTAAGACTTCAGGCTCAACGCCTTGAAGTACGTTCCCCTCGACCTTAGGACTTGAACGTTCTCTGGTCCGCTCCTTGTCATCGGCGTTACCGCCGCTCCAACTTGGCTGCTACTTAGCTCCTTCCTCTTTACTCTCGATCTCCGGGGACTAACGGCGTAACGGCGGTGTTGTTAATAACTTCACTACTGTCCCATCCGTCTTCCACACTTAGGCACCTTGTGGCTTTGGCACGGTTACACGGTATACATGATCTTAACAGTATAATTAAACTCAATCCGTTAACGTCGTACTGACATATCATTTTTTATGCCTCCGAAAACTTGAGCTCAATCCAGAGCTAACTCCGAAGAAAACACTTTCTTCACTACAGCCCAATCATTTGCCCCATTCTCCGACTCTATCTCTGCCATCGGTCAACCACGTCGCCGTAATCGCGGTTTCGGTCCAGCCACTGTTCCTACTACGTCGACTCTTCCTGAAGCCATGGAAGAGGAACAACAATTTGAGTACAGCACCTTGTACACTGGTGACGGACAACCTGTCCAAGTTCTGACCCCTCGCCGTGGACAACCCCCCCCGTGGTCGCTCCGGCTTGGTAACGAGCTTGCCTCGTTTTTGTGTGAAAGAGAAAGGAAGGAATATAATGGGCACTCCAACCAACCAATCTAATACACAATATGCGAGTTCACTGCTATCAAATTTATTTAATAGCAAGGGGTAGCGTTGGCAAAGGTTCCGCAAAGCTTTGAGAGCTATGCAAGAAGCTTTGATCAATCAATTTGAATCGTTCTAAGGATTCAATATATTCCTTTGATCAAGGTAGATTCAGCACGATTTGTGCTTTGGTTTGTATTGATTTGGGTATATCAAGAATTGGGGGTTTGAATCAAAGTAAATTAAAACCGAAACACACAGACCTCTACGGAGGGCTAGAACTATGTGCTGGCACAACCACACAGTGTGATTTGCCCTTAAGACCAACGACTGATCCTAAGTTCGAAGAATATCCAACAACTGGATATACTTCTCGCAGTCACAAGGAGCAGAACACAATGTTCCTATACTCACAAGTGCCGGGCCCGAATGGCTGCTAGCGAACAGGTTTCAGTCTGGCGGGAGTGTGTCTTTCCTTTTTACGGATTAGCACTGCAACGTCGTCCCAAAATCACTTGTATTCCAGATACATCGGATCGCTATTTATACATACAGAATATAGAGTCGCACAGTACAATTAATTTAATACAATAAACGTTCGGAACCGCAAGGAAACTTCTACGCTCGGTCAGATACCATTTAATTTGAATCTACATGTCCTTATTTGGCCCATATTGGTTCCAAGATTCTAGTATACCTCCAAACATTGGTAGGTACCTCGATATTCATTTAATTTAATTGTTTTAGAGAATGACTCGAATGGTGTTCAACTGTCATTGCTGTTCAATACTTACTTCGATCGTTTGTCACCTCGTCCGGAGGCAAATCAGCTCTCCTCGATTCTAATCCTATCAATCTGATTCATCTGGATTAAACTAATTGCTTCTCTCTTTCAATAGACACCCATTGTGCCTATACTCTATCAAGGGAGTTATGCATAGTATTCATTTAATTGCATTCTTCAATATTTTCTACATCAGGACTCTTTGACATTCATTTGATATGTCTTCGGAGCCTCGCAGTACTTCGATCGTTCTTCTAGTCATTTTCCTCAACCATGCAACTTGATTGGTCTATTAGACTAAACCGCAGTCTTTTAGGTTAATGCATGATCTCGTTCTAGAAGGAGTATTTGATAATTCCTGAGTTCTAGAAAGTCATTTCGAGTCAATCCTCGGTTCATGGTCACTTGAGTAAGTTCTTCCAAACTCCTGCCAGTGTAAGGTCCAATAAGAATACCCTTGGTAGGTCATACGTGAATGGTCATCCTTCGGATGTAGTCCGAGTCTGGTATAATCCTGCTTGACGAACAGGTAGACTGCTATCCGTAGGTAGTATCGGGGATGGGTAAACTGACCAACTTGTGGTAGTATGGGTATATGGTCCCTTCAACTTATTAGACTGATTCAGTATCGACTTTGACTGTCAATCTGGGTCTCAATTACAGTCCTCTTGATACAAATCTATACGTGAAAATGTCACAATTCACGGCATAGACGTCTAGCCAAAATTTAGGCGTGTCACCGGGATGTGAGAGGTTTTGAGGAGCAGGCTCGACATGCATACCAGAGTTATCTTCATCATAGTAAGAAGAATGCGGACCTACTTCTTGTTCTCCTTCTTGTTCTTGTATCCCGTATGGGTTCTCTGGTTTCGAATCGGAAAAATGTTCTGCACCGTGACCGAAACCGTAGCCTCGACCCCCATCATAGCTCGAGTACGGAATATTCAAATTCGACTTTGGGTTGTAGCCTGCGTACGACAAGTTTGCCATGAGATACTTGAGTTCGTATACCTCCTCCAAGTCAAAGGTACAACGTTCTTGATGCGTGTGGAATAAGGTCTTGGAAAGAGCAGAAAAACTTTCAATTTCAAATCCTGTTTACCTTCATTGTACGTAGGTGAATTGAATGTTTACATACAGAGAAAAAAAAAAAACTTCCAATGCAATACAGTGCTTTGCGAAATGGTTTGCTTGTATGGATTTTTTACCAAGTGTTTATTGCTGTTTGTTTCTGATTATTTGTCCAATACATTTTTGGGCCGAGGCTCGAGAGGGCTCTCTTTGAGGACCACCACGGCCGTCGGGCTTCAAAAAGTGATTGATGAATCCTTTTTGGGGTAAAAATATATTGGACAAATAAATAAACACAAATAGATGTGAAAAAGTTGAGCAAGCAAAGACTTACGCAAAGCACTGTAGCATTTCTCGGAATCGACCGGCGAGGGGCAATCGGGGGCGCTTCGCGGAGCTGGAAAAAAGCAAGTTAGGTGGAAGGTAAATTGGCGAAAGTTCCGTAGCCCAAGCCGAACCGAGAGCGAGCTTCCGGAGAAAGCTTGCACTGGTGGCACTGTCAACAACAGTGATCTCCAACTATCGTGATCGTCCGAAAGCATCGTTGCAGTTGGAACAAGGAAACTAGTGTCAGTCAGTGAGGACTTGGGAAGGATAAAGGATAGTCAATAGAGGGAAAAGTAATCTCATTGAAGGAATTTCAACAAGGCCAACAACGACAAATTGATGACAGTATTTTGACAAGGCTAGGAAGAACAGGGAACAAGGAATACTGGAGGAGTGAATATGTTCATGGGAAGACGTTGTTTGTTTGCTTGAATATACTTCGCCGCTGGTTGGATGTAACAAAGAATATTTCAGCAGAATGTTGCGGAAAGTTCAAGTGTCTTGTTACATCTTAATGCAGACTATGATGGTTTATTAAGCACTTTACCCATAGCTGGTCTTTCCCCTTCTCTATAAGGTCCTCCATGACATGTTTTCTCTTCTCCTCCTCGACACGTCTCGCCCTCCCCAACACATCCTGCAATCAAAACTGCAAATTCCTGCTGCACAGCTGTCCACTTCTGCAACACTATGTTCACATCAGGAAATGCACCTGCCTGTCCCATGTCTTTGATTGATTCCTCGATCCATGCTATATTGTCCTTGATGTGTACCTTGTTTACAAGGCTGTCAATGACCAGTTTCAAAAAACTGAACAGAACCCCCAAGGTCGTTACACTCATAGGATCAATGACAATTGTTCCATCCCATGTGTACTTTGGAGTCTTGATGGTAGTGACAGCATTCAAGGACGAATCATATATGTAGCAGTTTTGGGTGCCAATGCAAAGGTGTAAGACCTGGGTCAGAATAGGTCTTAGGGTAGGTTTTGGTATATGAAGGTTTATGTTGTAGCATGCTAGGAGCAGGCTGGAGCTCCAAGGGAGCTACGGGAACCGCGACCAAGGACGGGAATGACCTAGTAGTGGCTGGAACGACGAGATGGTGACCCTTGAGGGGGTTCCTAGGAGGTCCAGGGAGGTCCCTAAGCTGTAGGGAGGTTAAGTAAGAGTGTGGGACCGTACAATATTGCGTAGTAGGAGTTGTACTCACTAGAACGTCAATATAGGACCAAATAGGTTGTAGATGTAAATGGGTCTCGAGGGTGTAAGCTCCCAAGAAGGTATATGCCAGGGAGGGTAGGTCCCTGGGGACTGGGCTTGAGGATGGACGTCCTTGAGTGTGGGAGGTGTTAATGGAGAAGCAATACGTAGTTCAACGTGAGGGGTAGCTTTGACGTTACTTAGATCGAGGTCCCAAAGCTTACGGGTAGCTAGGGAGCTCTGGGAGGTTTTGGGAAGGGTAGCTCACCAAAGCGTTTAGGCATTGGGGAGCTTTAGTAATGTTCGAGGGAGCTCGGGGACTCACTCGGAAGGCTTAGACTCGAAGTAAAAGCGTATATTCGACTGTATAGACGATCAGAGAGACAATAGACGAGAGTAAAGAGAAACAGAGGTAGAGAAACAGAGGGTAAAGAGAATTCCGTATAGGTAGCAGGTACAAAGGGACAGGGACTGGACCTATGTAAAGGGTGTGTGCTCAAAATATACCAAGCTGGGGCTTGGGGACATTACGGAGCTACTTAAATAGGTATGGGAAGTGAACAAGGGAACATGAGGCAGGTAATCAAGGGAGACAGGTGATCGAGATTGGTACTTAATGGGGCTGGTGCTAGGAGTTTCATACGCGTGTCGGAATGGTTGTCAGGACTGTCTTGGGGAGGTGTGTACTACCTCGGGGATGTCTTGGGGAGGTGTAAGGAAGCGTGTGGGCTGGTGCTGGGGTTGGTCTGGTTGCGGTCAGGGCATGACAAAAGGGCAAAGAGAAAGGAAGCTGGCTTCTTCTGTTTTCTTTTCAGCCAAGTCTTTTGATCTTTCATTATGCGTGCAACTCTGAGAGTATGATCTCCACGATTTGGGTCTACATTCTCCTTGTCAACTTTGTGAAGACAAAGAGTTTGAAATTGATTTATTGAGGCACAAATCGGTTTTAGCCACCATTGCCAAGGGGCCGGCAACACTAACGGGAGTGACACCGAGGAGAGCAATCATCAAGAGAAAACTTGATGAGAAGAGTTGGAACAACATAGTAAAAAATGTTGTGTTTGGAAGTGTGAGGACAGTTGGGATAAGAGGATGACAATAGTAATGGCCACAATACGAGGAAGGTGTGTATTCACTAAACAAGATAATTTGAGCAATGTAAGAATTAGGAAAGAGGAATTGAGAACACACCACTGCAAAGGATTCTGATGCCTACGAAACTCCTTGATCTACAAAGAATCACCGGGATAGGTGTCCAATTGCACTTTTGAGTGTGACTAAATCCAAGTCAGCTTAAGTCAAATAAGAAGAAGAGAATGAAGAAAAAGCATAATATTGGTGGGGATACAGAAAAAATCATACCGATGATATGACCCATTTTTATTTGAGTCTATAATGCAGTAATTATGCATTTTCAACTGTAAAGTACTATCAGTGATACTGAGATTGGACAGTACATTGTATTCAGAGAAATTACACAGATCTGCACAGTGATTGCGTCTGAATGACACTTAAGTGGGTCTTCATAGCAAAATACAGTTGTATTTCCAAGTAACAAAGCTCTAATACTAAAACTCACACTTGTGTTTGACTTGGACTATGACAATATCTGCAGAATTAAAGTGTTCCGAGCTTCACCTTTGTATAGCATTTCAATAGAGCTGAATGATAAGATTGAAAGATAACAATATTCCGGACCTCTGGAGTTAATTCCGAGAATATCAGGATTGATTTAGCTTATGTCCCTCATCCGGAAAGCCTTCCGAGGTACAGCATGATTTCCATCAAAGGTAGCACATGGTACAACAGGTCCACATGCTACTCCGAGATGCAGCATGATTTCCATCAAAATCAGCACATGCTACAAGAATTCCACATGCTACAACGATTGATATCAGTTGTCAAGGGTTGTTTTGAGGATATATAAGGAGGGTGCTGGCCTCTGAATGAGAACAAGCACTTTCCCCCCCCACTTCTGCAAGGATTTGGTTGGTTGGTTAGTAGCTTCTGGCTATAGTGACAAGTGCACTTTAAACAAAGATGATATAGTGTTAACTTTCACTTTAAACAAGTTAGAGTTTAAGAAAGACAGAAAGAAAGAAAGTTCAAAGTCACAGATTACCATTATGCTTCAGAGTTAATAGCAGTCAGAGTGCTGTGAGTAGTGCACACTCTTTCTGTGGATTGTACTTGTAGTGTATAATACAAATCAGAGGTTTTGTTCAGTTCAGATAAAGTCAAAGAAAGATTTAGCATGCCTGAGTTTGATAGAATCTCGAGAAGAAAAACTATTCAACCTCAACATTATACCCACATGATGTAGATATTTGTAGAGTTGCAGTGTGATCTTGCTTTTTCAATGATAAACCCCCTTGAACTTAGTGTTTGATGATGGTTTGTGTTAGTGTTAGTGTGAGTGTTAAAGCTTGCATTAGCATTTTATGCATAGCCCAGAGTCAGCATATCACCGAACCAGCGTCAATTCTTTGGGGGGAAGTATTGAATTAGGAACAAACAGGAATAAACTTCAGTCTGCAAACGGGACCTTTTATGCATATTTAGCTCAGGTACCAAAGGAGAAGAAAGGAAATTGTGATGATTTCACCTGGTGGTAACTGTCGCAAAGAGATCCAGATTGCACCGGCCCAAAGGCTCCCAAAGGAGCCCAAAGGCATGCAAATCAATCGTCAATTCATTCACCCATCACCCTCCTTTGGGGATTTGGCACAACAATGTTCGAAGTTCAAACAGTGGATGACTTCCATAAGGAAAATTAATAAAAGTCACGTTTTATTTTCTCTCCCGGGCCAAACGGTTACAGTAATCAATGTCAGATTGAGGCTCAAGCCTACTTCCAAGAGCCTGCCAAAAGTGGTAGACTAAGCACAATAATATGTCCACATACTCTCACCCCCACTGCAGTCTATCATTCCTTGTCGGATGAGCATTCACTGCAAGTGGGATGGTTGGGCCCGGCTGTTCCCTTGTGGGACCCTGTCTTTGATGGAGCCGCGTAGCTATCTATCTATCTATCTATCTCTCATAAATCTTCAAACAGCTCTGGCAATGATGTGAAATTTTGTTCCGAAGATTTTGTTTATAGCCGTAAATTCAAGTCTTTTTCAAGTCCAACCGAGTCCCTTCCCACTAAATCTGTCCTATTAAACCTCCATCCCTTCTGATGCCTCAGTTGAACAATGTTTCGACTCGTTTGGCTGTTCCGATACCAGTGTTTTATCCTTGAAACTACAGAGATCATCTCCGTTGTCCGACATGAAATCTCTGAATAGACTGCAATCATCAAAACGAGCTCGCTTCCATTTATCACTAACACCTCGGCGACAAGGGTGAAGAAGAGCTCGAGAATCTGTTGTTGTACCTGTTGCAAAAGCAATAGTGCCGGTGGTCCTTACGGTTGTTTCACCATTAACTTGTGTCTTGTTGATTTCTCGAAGGTCAAGAAGAAATCGCAAAACCATTATGGAGGATAGACTAAGTAATATCAGCACTGGGATGAATGAACGGTAAGATTAAGTTAATACTTACACGAGCATGAAATTATTGAGGATAGTACTGCTTCCTTGCTAAAATTCAATGTCAGGTATAAAGACTTTTTCATCTGGGAGTGAGGATTCTAACTTGCGGATCCTGCAATAGGATTTCATCAATTGTTGACATCAAACACCTGGAGAAAAGTGATTAAAAGATTGAACTTACAAAGTAAAGTGCAATCTCAATCAGCTGTGGAACTGTCACAGTGCTGATAAAACAATGCATCACTTGGTTGGAGCAAAAGGAGAGACATGGATATATATTTACCCAAAGCAAAGGACACCTACGTTGGAGGGAAAACAAAGTCAGCAAATATGTTCATCAACCAGAAAATAGAGGGGCGCGAGCTCACCTGATCTTAGTATATAAGTTGCAATGCGGGAGCTCTCTAACCCTTTCAATTTCCCGCCCCACCGAATGGTTTTGATTATCCTGACGGTTACAAGAACTAAGTATGAAGGGTGAAGGGGATATCTTGCACTCAGTGATTCAGACTTGAACTTGTACTCCTTAATTTTGCGATAGTTCACTTACTGGTGGTGAGGACATCAAAACACGCCAGAGAAATGAATGTTGTAATAGTAGCTGGAGACATCTATGTAAGTTGTCGTCCACGAGCGCAACACATCTTATACATACATTTGCATATTATTGTATTATCAATTCAGCTGGAGGCTTTGAATGGTCCCAAAGCAAAGCATGCTTACAGCTTATCAGAAGACTGAGAACATGAGGACTGAACGCCTTGCCACTGAGAGGGATATTCAGCAAACAGGAATGAGATACCATGGCAGAGTCAGCTTCAGCTTGAACGACTTAATCACATATACACCAAGGTAGAAGACTTACAACATCTAGTCCAACAATGGCCACACCTAATGCGCTGAGGATCACCACAAAGAAAAGTCTTCCATCCATGATGGCATAAACACATAATGCAAACAACGTTGGGAAAAGACCATAAGCACTCCGACGAGCAGAGAAGGGGGGGAGTGACATACCAGTTATTGCAGCACAGGTAGGGATGAAAGAGGTGTACCAAAAGAATTGATACAGAGCATCACAGCTATAATTTGAATGTCATCGGAGGGACTACTATGATATGCTTATTATAAAATGGACACACTACATAGCAAATTAGATCAGAGGAAAATAACGAGTGTGCAAGTAGAGACTATCTCACCTGCAGAGTGCTGGTCTTGTAGCACAACTCCCAGACCTGAAAAACAACCACAGGGTATCGGTTCATGTAATAGATCACATTTGACCATCGAAAATTGGCACTCCAGATGAGATCCACTTCTTGTCCGAGATTGATGAGGATCTCGTACGCTAGCACCGCTAAGTCCATAGCAAGGTCAAGTCAATGTATAATCTTCAAGGAACAGAAGGGACCAGAAAGCAGCGGCACTTACTGGTTTTGGCATATGATGCATAGTTAACAATGCGACTGTCAAAGGTTTCATCAGGAAAACCACCCTCGGGAAATAGGGTGGAAACTTACCAAAAATTTCGTATTTCAGATAATTTGGCTAATAGGCAGCATATTTTTTGACTACACACTAATTTCGGAAAATATCTCAAAATATTTCTGCAATTATGAGACATCTAGCATATGTTTGGAATGTGATAGATGTAAGGATTAACAGTAAATGAAGAGCAAAGAATGTTTGGAAAGAGTGTTTAATGTTTCTGACTACGTGCCAGTAAATTCTCTAGTCCGTCTTGAAGACGAGACAGCTGTGCATCCTTCATACGAACCTCCCCCTCTAATCCATGAATGCGGGAAATGAGGCAAAGGTTTTTTTCAATGATATCCTGGTTCACTCCACTGGGGTCAAAGAGCATCCGATTGACTACCTCTTGAGGGTGAAGCAGTGTCCGAACAAGTCGAGTGTACATAGTAGCTAATATGAAGAGTTATTCAAATCAAAGTTGAGCATTAAAGGGTGTATAACATACGGGTTGCATACAATGCCACTTTTCTTCTGTCGTCCCAAAGAACGACTGGTTTTGAGCATAGCGCGCAAATAATTCCATCAGAATTGATATGAATGTCGACAAGTGTTTTGTCTGAATCAGTCTCCTCGAAGACCGTAATTCTTTCCGGGCATATTTCGGGATCACTAGACCAGCTTGCATTGAGTATACCGAATCGGAAACACATCATATTCAGGCACACCTTTCGATAGCTGCCTTTTGATTCTGAATGAACTTAGACAATTCGGCAGCAGTCAGTTCAATTTCAGTTTCTTGCGAGCTTGGAACTATTTCATCCATGTCCTCAAAGCTGGGGGAATATACTCGATATTTGTGGTCCATAGAGTGGGAGAGGATAACAAGAAACAAGGAAAAGATGGACGTGTGTGCCGGCGTAAGTGGAAGAGTTCGAAACACTCATAACGACCCTGACCATTCTGAAAGATCATTCTGAAGAAAAGCATATGTTCATTAGCCTAGATTGAAGTATGTATGTGTATCTCTAAAGGGATTAACAAAGAAATGTTCACATCTATCTAAAATATTTTTGCTAGTCCATTCGGGAAGTACTGATCCACCCCATTTTGGATATAGATGGATGCTACTCTGAATCATCTTGACTGGGACCACCGATGCAGAAATGACCCCATCTCTTCCCATTTGTTTCTTGAGGCGGTACATCCCCATGCGACTGTCTGTATGACGGGGAAACTTGCTGAACCACTCCACATAAGCTAAATGAGTTGGCGGAGTTATGTTTGGAGGAAATAGCTTGTAGAGTGTCTTTTGAGGCAGAGCGAATATGACCCGAACATGTCCAACTTGTGTATCTAGTAGATTCATCAGACCCAGATAGACGTGATACTGTAATGGGTGTCGTACCCTTGATAAAGTCATCTCCTTGTTCACTAGTAGTCCTGCGCACACAAACAAGAGCAGTATCAAAACGTGAAACTCTTGTTTTTTGGTTGCGAGAGTTATAGCGGCAAGGACAAGCAGAGACTGCGTCAACAGTTTTCTGGTCATATAAGTCTTGATTGTTGAACTTTAGGTGGTGCCAGACAGGCAGAGCGGCAAATAGAAGTGTGATGAACTCAGCCATCTCTGAAACCTGCCATGGTACAAAGTCGGGATGTCGGTGTTGTGCAATAAACTGTTTGAGCGCTGTGACAAACTGCGTAGCACAATATCCTCGTGGGCCTGTATCCTGAATCTTCGACAGTGAGACTGATTTGACCATAGGATGCTGCGCTATCCTTTGCGTGAGCAAACATCGGAGATCTTGGAGTGTCCGAATGGCACCAGGAAAGTCATAGCGCAGACCAGTGGGAGGAACAGGATGAAATGAGGTAGATTTTATTGATGTCGGGTTGGTCCTTCTCCATGCGATATAAGTTGAATGGTAGCCAATCTTTTCCTGACGCTCTAACCACTTTGTCATTTGAGCGTATTCATCTTTCCGGTTGGTAGCACGATATGCATCCTTAGCAAAATTGATATGAAGCCGTTCAGTGGTCTCAGTGTTGTAGTTGTCGCACATTCCGAACAGCTCGATAGCGCAGACACAACGACACATGAAGTGGACCCCCGGGACATTGAAGTGCTGGCGCACGTTCAAGTCGATGAAGACCTGCTTGTGATCATGGAATGTTTGCAGGGCCTGCTCAAGGATGTCCAAAGATTCATTGCTATGAATGGGATAGCATGCAAGATAGAGAAAGTCAAGGAGTGCACGAGTTGCAGTTGAGAGAGCATATGATTGGCGAGGAGTCAAGTGGGGTACATCGATGATTATACCTAAGAGGAAGGTGCACATTGCCCTGTGTTCCATTCCACTGACTTGTGACAATGTCAAGATACCTTTGTGAAACTGACGGACACTATGGTTGGGAGGAAGGCGACGGACGCGTGCGTCAACTTCACTAGCACCACATATACTCGTAATCTACCCAATGAGGTGCTTCATTACGCCCTGATACATCTGGTGAAGAATATCAGGTGTTATAGATCGGAATATGTTGGTGAATGGCAAATCTTCCCAAAATGGATATTGAACAGGTTTAATATTGGCATCGAGACAGCTTTGAGCCCAACTATCAGTTCCAATGAGTTTCGTAGATGCTATAGATTTATCTGGATCTCGGACTGGTGAGGTGGATGGGTATTGACCTAAATGTTCTTTCGTAGTCATACAAACAGGACAATCCCCATAGTATGCACAGGTAACCAATATCTGTTCCGGATAATCCCCAACATAAGCAGCTAAAATAGGGTGACAGCGACGTTTAACACCATCACCACTTTTCATAACGATACCGTGCATCCCTGCCTCCTTCAGTGGTGCGACTAAGTGGGTCATACAGGCATGAAACAAGTTGGCTACAGTTTGACGCCATTGAGCTTTGTTAGTGATGTGAGCCAATTTCGATGTCGGAAGATAGGTGAGAAGAATTTGTCCTTGATGGGATGGTTTTCTGCAAATCTCTTTTGGAAGATTCCCAATTGTGAGATAAACGGGATATGCAGTCTTGTTTCGGAACAGAGTGACTTGTGTCTTGTCACTGGATAAGATGACCGGAATGATAGCTGCACCCGGAGTTTCAGCCTCGAGCGCAGTCTAAGCAATATTAGACTAGATTTTCCAATAGAGGATATAAATCTCACCTGGGTAGCCCACCACCATTTACCAGTGTGAAGATCATGATACAACCGGGAAGTCTTGTCAGCATCTGAGTAATGTCGCTCAGGAGCAACACAAAGATACCGAGCATGTTCTGGAGATCCATATAGAGCACGGATGCACTCCAAGATGTCCCGTTTGTAGAAATCAAATGCTTCTCCTGCAATCACAACTTCTCCATGTTTGAATGAGGGATGTCGAGGAGGAATTTGGGTATCAATAATGTTATTGATTTCTGCACTGCTTCGATATGATAAACCAAGGGCTTTGCAAACCTATTGCAAAAGTATATTATTAACAATGAGTCTAATGGTCAAACTTTGGGCAATGAACGTACACCCTTGATTTCAAGTAGCTCTGAAAATGCGGTCGAGCTAGGCCCACGTATCTTTGCCCACCGAGCAATTTCCCAATCGATACGGGATGTAAACGGAGCCCAACAGTTGGAATCAATTCCTGGAATTTGTGACTCGTAATGAAGAAATCCATCTGATGAGTTGAAAGGGACTTGGGCAGGATTAGAACCAGGAATAGGTGTCCCTGCCTGGCCACCGAAGACAGTGACATGGATATTGTCACGGTGAGCTGGGAGTGATCGGAGGAGTGAGCTTTTTGGCTGAACTATATCCATATCCATGTTGTTGTCGTTGTCCTCCAAGTGATTTACCATCGCAGATTCCCGGGGTGCCTCCCATGTTTTTTCTAACTCAACCGGAGAATTATCTCCATCTGTTTCATCTTCATCTTCTTGACCAGTGGTCATCTGTATGCCCTTAGTATCTCCTGATCCATCTACAAACCCAGGTAAATCTTCAGGCCCATAATCATTTCCGAAGAAATCTCCTTCAAAACCAGAGGCACAATCTGAATGGTGTTGTTCAGGGGATGAAGGCAGCGGGGATGAATTGGGGCGATGTGATGGAGGAGAGTGAGATCTTTGTGGACTACGTTTACCGCCTCGTCTCAAGGCATCCACCCGAGCCTGACCAGCTTCTCGACACTGAGACTTGGTGGTTTGATCTTGGTGCTGTATAAGATATGATGTCTGCGTGAAATTCTTCCCGCAACCAGAGCAATAGTTTAGATGGGTAGTCAAAAACATGTATTGCCTGCAGAGGTAACAAATACAGCTTTGTTGTCATCTATGTAGGGAGTTTTTGGGCTCTGAGTCAGCAAAGAAAAATACTCATGGTTTGTTTTCTTTTCTGTGCATTTTCTTTGTATCCTGTTTCCTGAATACCTTCATTGCTTCCTATTTCTTACTCTCAATATCTACAAGGGCAAACAGAGTATCTTCTGCCGACAATCCTTCAGCTTCAGGAGCACCAACTGCAAAAGTGCAACGGGGACATCGACAAACAAGAAGCAGTACTGATGCTAACACTGTTGTCCCAGTATCTAGTACCAACAAAAAGCGAAAAAAAACTGGTACAGACCTTAGAGCTTAACCATTTATGTATCTTACCTATTTATTTCACAGTTGAGCCGTTGGGAACTCAAACCAAAAAGGCAAGGGGTAGCCCTCGTGCTGCGTCTGGTGTGGTCAGCAGGGGTGGGGGAGCCACTACACCAAGGAACCGACCTTCAGAGGGTGAGCAATAAAATTTTGATCAAGAAAAGCTATGAATGTTATACACACAGGGACCCGCCAGACCAGGTACCGTGCAGTCACCATCAACGTAGATGAAGAGGAAGGTATTTGCTTGTTCATATTTCATTATCCTGTAGTTTGACAATAACTTTGTCCTCAGCTCCACTACCGAGGAAGCGCAAGTCACACAATGAAGAAGACTATAGTACAGCAAAGGAAGTAGCAGAGGAGTCAGCTAGTGAGAACAGTGTTGATGATCCAGACATCGAAATTGAGCAAGAGCGCACAGAGGATCAGATGGCTGCACACCTTTTCGAGCAAGAAGTAAGTGAATGGCTTATGTCTTCTTTTGAATCTATGTTTATGGACTTTCAGAGACCGCAGTTCACGGTGTTCAATGAGGACAAGGAAGGGCAATGTATGTTCATATTTCTCACCAAGCATGTTGACTAATCATAATATTCCCAGCTCATTGACGTCGTTCACATCATTCACGGGCATCCAGCCATTCAAGCTCTGCTTTTGCCTCGACTCCACCTTTGACTGATTTCAATGGCACTTCTGAACCTGCAGATGATGGCTCAACTGCTGACCTCAATGATAATATGGACAATGGCGCATGGGAGGACAAACAAAACAATGTATGTATATATTTGCCTTTTTCATGCTTTTCAATTGAAATTTATTGTGCGGTCAGGTTCCAGCTCGCAAAATCTCCAAAAAAGCTGCCAAGAAGCTCGACTATGAGGTACGGAACTTTTCTGTTAGTATTCCCATCCTAATACCATGTACAGCTGCCTCAAGTCTCAACTGAAGCCCTCTCAACTATGCAAATGGTGCCCTCTCTTGCTATGCAGCCCAATTCTTCCACTACCAGCGCAATTGTGTGGAAAGATCCAACAAATATCAAAGCTACCTACCAGGGCCGTAGTTGGGTATTGTCCTTAACCAGTCAGCCCACTTCAATGTGTAGAGTCATTGACTGAGCTATTAAGGAAGGAAAGACGGACCTTGTAATGGGCCATGAAATCTGTCCTCTAGAGCCCGAAGGACTCAAACACCTCGCTCTCAAGAAATTAGTCAAGGCGGCAGATTTTTTTTGGGTGGGATGGTGCAGCTGACGTTGCTCACCACTTAGAGGCGGGTGACCATGATAGCTATATCAGGCCTTTGACAACATATGTACGTCGCAACTCATGATTATGATCACAATCTCCGCAATATTAGTTTTTATAGGTTAGTTCACGCATTGGTAATGAACATGCCAAGGAGCTCAAAGGTCCGGGTCTCAACACCGTCGTAGTCAATGCTTATGGTTTCACTGGATTAAGTGGCCCTTCCGCCACACAACGGATCATCCTTACTCGGCACTTTATGTATGGCCTAGATTCAGTAGGTTATGGACATCTATTACTGTACAAGACTGATCTTGTCTCATAGCAAGGCAACTTCGATGACACAAAACCCTTCCAGCACAAGGCCTATGCTGACTATATATGTACTGTCATGTTTGGCAATAACCTATATTCAGGTGTCGTCGCCGCTAATCATGCCCGATTTGTTTCATCTATCAAGACAAAGCCTTCAGAATTAGAAGTGACGAAAGGGATGGTAGCCATAGCCACAGCTGGGGTATGTTGTCATAAAGTACGCAGCCCCTATCATTTTCCTTTTCTCACCGTCTCGACGCCTTTACTTGTACGATACATCATCCCATCACTGTCAAACCCCCATCGATTACTGATCCATCGATTACTGATCCACCTGACCCATCTTCTCCTTCTACTGGCTTCCGCCACCTTCCTTGTTCCTAAACTGTACAGTATTACATCGTTGTTTCTCGCAGACCGGATTATGTATATATAGCCAACCCTCCACAGCCTGGTCCCTTATCTTGACCTCTCTGTCATTATCTGGGACCAGGTATGTGCTTACTTATTATTACCTATGACTACGATACTCAATATATCTCTGTCATTATCTGGGACCAGCTTGCCGCCGTTCTGCTTAGTCGCTCCGCCTTGTTGCCTTGTCCAGTTGCTCCGCCTCACCGTTCTGCTTAGTCGCTCCGCTTTCCCGCTCCGTTAGTCACTCCGCCTCTGCCGCTTCGTGACATTAGGTCAAGATCCATTACTGCACTGACAGCCTACCGATAAGGTTGTCCTTGCAGGGTCTAGAGACACCACGTCTTCCCCAGTTCCGCCCGACTCTGAAACACCTGTTGCCAGTATAGACTGCTCCGCACTCCCGCACGCACTTGACCCCAGAGACCAAGCTCACGCCCATAACAACGACGATACTTGGCGCGATTGCCAGTCTCAACCTTGCCCCAACGCCCTTTCGAACTCAATCCGAGAGCCACTCACTGTGAGCAATATAACCTTCCTGCCGATTCCCCAGCCCCGATTGCCTACTCCCATCATGTCGACTCCTATCCCGCCTGCCCCAAACACCTCTGCGGAGGATCTCATGGCTCAGCTCATCAGACAAGTAGCTAACCTTGCTACAGCTATGGAGGAACGCTCATCCTCTAAGTCAAGCATGAACAAACCCGAGGTTTTCAAGGGTAAAGATGGCGCTGAAGCCCGTCGCTTCATGGCTCAGTTCCAGAATTGGGCATCAGAACAACCGGATCTCGCCAAAAGCCAAGTAAAACTCATCAAGTCCGCCTTGGGCTTCTTCACAGAAAGTGCCGGAGATTGGGCAACTCCCCATCTGCTACATTTCAATGCGGAAAATCCCCCTTTCGGAGGAAATTGGGAGGCGTTTCTGAAGGAATTTAGCCAACGGTTTGAACCAATGGACCCAGGTATGGAAGCCCGTAGCGAGATCAAGAATCTCAGGCAAAGTAAAGGACAGACAGTTGCGGAATTCGCTCAGAAGTTCAAGGATATCGGAGATCGGACTGAAATGTCTGATATTGACTTGCGGGAACGTTTCTTCACTGCATTACTCCCAGAGATCCGACAACACCTCATCACCGTAAACATTGCCCAAGGAATTGCTCCGACTCTGAAGGAGGCAATCAAACGGGCCATATCGGTGGATGTCTACCTGCACGATCCCACCATGACTGGCCGGAACTCTGGATACCCTCCCACGCATACCGCTCATACTACCCCTGCTGACCCCCACGCTATGGACATTGATGCAACCCACACCAGTAATGGGAATACTAGGGAGGCATTCCTAGCTCGCATGCGAGGACGATGCTTTGGCTGCGGTGCCCAAGGTCATGTCAAGCAAAACTGCCCACACCGAGAAACCACCTGCCGCTACTGTGGACGCCGAGGACATCTGGAAGCAGTCTGCCAAGACAAATTCATGGGACTCGGACGAGACCGAGGCCGACGCCAGCAACCTCGACGCCAACAGATATCCGCTACGGGACCCGCGCCATTCTCCCTATTCCCAAACGAATCCGTCCAAATCGCGTCCTCGACCCCAACATCTGCTCCTGCACCCGTAGCTGCTACTCCGAGCCCCCCTAACCAGGACTTTTCCAATCAGATTGGTCAAATAAGGGAATTACTTGATCGTGCTAACGCTATGTCCTCCTCGTCCTCTGGCTTTCAACAGGGTTTTTAAAGAGGGTACCCGCTTCGGCTGCACCGAGAGTACCCCGTAATCAGTTTGTTATGTTCGCTACTTCCTCGTATGACTCGCACCCATCATGTACAATATCGTCGATCCGGGAATTAAACTCTACTTCCCCACATTTCCGAATTCATGCGAGACTAAGAGGAAGGAATCACAGTATAACAACTGCAGCCATGGTAGACTGTGGAGCTACCGCCCTGTTTTTAAACCAAGATTTTGTCACCCGGAACCATGTAAGATGTGCACCCCTCCATAAACCAATCGACGTTTTTAATATCGATGGAACACCTAACCGAGCTGGACGGATAACCCATTTTGCACGTCTAGCACTCACAGTGGATAATCAAGAGCGATGGATGGACTTTCTGATCACCAACCTAGGAGGTGAAGACATCATCCTTGGACTCCCCTGGCTACGGAAGGTAAATCCGGAGATTGATTGGGAGAAAGGACGACTTTCAGTAAAGCCTCCTCGAGTAACGATAGAAGAAGTCCCAGACGAGGAGATCTTGTACTCTCATCTAGCCGCCACTCACACAGAAACCCCGATCCTCGAACTCCCGGAACTGGAACCTCCCGCAGAAAACCCCCACATTGAGGTGCCACTAGAAGCGACCCTTGAACCGAGTGAATCAGCAGCGGTGGAAGAACCACCAATACACCGAATTCGAGCCAATCATAAAACTCGCCGGGCATGGGTAAAAGCAGGAATTCTAGAGGAACAGACGGAGGAAGTCTGGTGCGCCGCAGGATTCACTTACTCCCAGCAGCTAGCAGAGGAAGCCAACCGAGACAAACCTGTTAAAACCTTCGAAGAAATGGTCCCTGAGCAGTATCGTGATTTCAAGAAGGTTTTCTCAGAATCCGCCTCCGAACGATTACCTGCCCACCAACCTTGGGACCATGCGATTGATCTCGTACCTGGAGCACCGGCAACCATGCGTACCAAGATTTATCCCATGTCCCTAAACGAGCAGGAGGAGTTGGATCGTTTCCTAGAAGAAAACCTACGGAAAGGCTATATCGTCCCCTCAAAATCACCAATCTCATCACCGGTCTTCTTCGTAAAGAAGAAGGATGGGAAACTCCGTTTTGTACAAGACTACCGGAAACTGAACGAGTACACTGTGAAGAACCGATACCCGCTCCCATTAGTTGCTGACATCATTAGCCGACTTCAGGGAGCCAAATACTTCACGAAGTTTGATGTCCGCTGGGGTTACAATAACATACGGATTAAGAAGGGGCATGAATGGAAAGGCGCGTTCGCAACAACCCGAGGCTTGTTCGAGCCTAAGGTCATGTTCTTTGGTCTCACAAATTCCCCTGCCACGTTCCAAGCACTTATGAATGCTATATTTGCTGATCTCATTGCAGCCGGCAAGGTGGCAGTCTACCTAGATGACATCCTTATCTTCAGTAACGATCTCGAGGAACACCGACGAATGGTACGGGAAGTATTAACTCGGTTAGAAAAGCACGACCTCTACCTACGACCCGAAAAATGCGAATTTGAACAACAACAGATTGAATACCTCGGACTCATCATCTCAGAAGGGGAGGTGAGAATGGATCCGGTAAAAGTAGCGGCTGTTCGTGACTGGCCAGTCCCTACTAACCTTCGGGAACTACGAGGGTTCTTGGGATTTGCAAACTTCTACCGACGCTTTATCCGGAATTTTGCCAAAATAGCACGACCTCTGAACGACCTGACGAAGAAAGACACCAGCTTTACCTGGACCGACACTCGACAGAAAGCATTTGATACCCTTCGAGAAGCCTTCATCTCCGCACCGATCCTTGCTCTATGGACACCAGACAGGCCTACTCGAATCGAGGTAGACGCATCAGGCTTTGCCACGGGAGGCGCCCTTATGCAGAAGCAAGACGATGGCCAATGGCATCTGGTAGCCTTCAGATCGGCATCCATGCAGCCAGCGGAACGGAACTACGAAATCTACGATCGAGAAATGCTTGCTATCATTGAAGCACTGAAGGATTGGAGGAACTTTCTAGAAGGACTCCCTCAACCATTCGACATCATTACGGACCATTCGAACCTCGAATTCTGGCGCACTGCACAAGATCTCACCCGCCGACAAGCCCGATGGGCCCTCTATCTGTCACGGTTTGACTTTCATATGATCCACCGCCCTGGCAGAGTAAACACCCAAGCTGATGCTCTCTCCCGCATGGCAGTTCATCATGTATCGGACAGTGATGATAACCGACAACAGACAGTCCTTAAACCTGGCCACTTCGTAAAAATTGCAGCTTCGATCCTACAGAACCCCTTAGAGGATCGTATCCGGAAAGCCTCAGAACGGGAAGCACAGGTATTGGAGGGTCTCAAAACAGTCAAAGAGCACGGACTACAGCGCTTGGCCAATGGAATAGCCGAATGGGAAGAGGACAATGGGTTGGTCTACTACCGAGGTCGAGTATACGTACCAGCAAACGACGACCTACGCACTGAGGTACTCCGTCAATGCCATGACCATCCAACTGCAGGACACCCCGGACTACACGGGACACTCGACTTGGTCAGTACCCATTTCTGGTGGCCTACGTTGCGCTCTTTTGTGGAAAAATACGTTGAGGGATGCGAGGTTTGTGCCCGTAAGAAGATCCAGCGACACCCACGGGCCGTAACTCAACCATTAGATGTACCATCCGGTCTATGGGAAGAGGTAGGGGTTGACCTGATAACACAGCTACCTAACTCCCAAGGCTACGATGCTGTCTTGGTTTGCACAGACCTGTATGGAAAACAAATTCACGCTATTCCTTGCACCAGCTCCATCACAGCCGAAGGCGTTGCCGATATTTACTACCGAGAGATCTTCCGTCTCCATGGTCTTCCTCTTCACTTTAAATCCGACTGCGGACCCCAGTTTGCAGCTAAACTCATGCGATCCCTTCTCGCTAGGCTAGGAATTAAATCAGATCTAACCTCCGGATACCGTCCTCAGTCTAATGGCCAAACCGAACGAGCAAATCAGGAAGTAGAGAAATATATCCGCCTCTATGTAGGACGACGACAAGACGACTGGGCAGAGCACCTTCCCATGGCGGAGTTTGTGATTAACTCACGGACTCATTCTGCGCTAGGCATGTCCCCGTTCGAGCTAACCTACGGCTATCTTCCCCTGTTCAATATCCCAGTGGGCCAACGCAGCGGTATTCCAGCTGTGGATGACCGTATACGGATTCTCCGAGAAGCGCGACAAGATGCCGGAGCTGCCTTACACCTAGGAAAGAAACAACAGAAGGAGGGATACGAACGCGGGAAGCGGAAAGCTCATCAATTTAAAGTTGGAGACCTAGTCTGGCTCAGTGCAGAGGACATTAACCTTCAGCTTTCCAGTGAAAAGTTAGGAGATCGACAGCTTGGCCCTTATCGCATTCTGGAGAAAATTGGCCCTTTAGACTACCGCCTTGACCTTCCCCTATCCCTAGATCGCCTCCATCCCGTCTTCCATGTTGATAAACTATACCCCTGGAAAGGTAACTCCATTAATGGCGAAATACCAACACCACCAGAGCCGGTATACTTAGAGGATGAAGACGAACCGGAATACGAAGTAGAGGAGATCTTAGACAGCCGGGTTCGATGGAAGAAGTTGGAATAGTTGGTTAAGTGGAAAGGTTACGACGCAGGGCACAACTCTTGGGAACCCGCAGCCAACCTCAGTCGAGCACCAAAAATTGTTCGGGCCTTTCATAAAAAACACCCAACAGCGGCAAAGCCTTGACCATCGAGGGCAATGGTCATAAGGAGGGGGGTAATGTCATAAAGTATGCAGCCCCTATCATTTTCCTTTTCTCACCGTCTCGACGCCTTTACTTGTACGATACATCATCCCATCACTGTCAAACCCCCATCGATTACTGATCCATCGATTACTGATCCACCTGACCCATCTTCTCCTTCTACTGGCTTCCGCCACCTTCCTTGTTCCTAAACTGTACAGTATTACATCGTTGTTTCTCGCAGACCGGATTATGTATATATAGCCAACCCTCCACAGCCTGGTCCCTTATCTTGACCTCTCTGTCATTATCTGGGACCAGGTATGTGCTTACTTATTATTACCTATGACTACGATACTCAATATATCTCTGTCATTATCTGGGACCAGCTTGCCGCCGTTCTGCTTAGTCGCTCCGCCTTGTTGCCTTGTCCAGTTGCTCCGCCTCACCGTTCTGCTTAGTCGCTCCGCTTTCCCGCTCCGTTAGTCACTCCGCCTCTGCCGCTTCGTGACATATGTGTCAATCATCTCACAGGTGCAAATACTGATGCATTTATGTCTAGATTCACGCAATACTGCAAGATTATGCCAATGGTCAATCCAGGGGTAAAGCAGCAAGCTTTCCATTGCCCGAGACCCCTGGTATTTGGAGTTCAGCTTTGTCAGTCCTCAACAACATTGAACGTGTCAACCTTCCTTTGTACCACAAGATCATGCATGAACTATATCTAGAGGCTTCGTAAGACTGGCTTCTTCATATTTGACTATATTCTTATGTACTTACAGAGGCGCTGTACCACTCAACAAAGGCGGCGTGACTGAGGAGAATGTTTTTGACACCGTTAACTGGGCTGCGCTAGCTGCGATTGATGTGGATCAGTCTAATACCAGCCCCGCCGCTTCTATGTCCTCTCTGCCAGGTATGTACCCCGATATCAAGCCCTATATAAACTAATGTTTTCACGCAGCTACACGCACTACATCGGGCATTCCGGTATTAAGCACCGCCACTTCGCCCTCGTTAAATGCCACCACAGGGTCCGTTCCAACTAGCCCTTCCACATAAAACTTCTCTAGTAATGGTGTCATATATTAAAACTGTTTTAATGTTGCTATCTTCGTCAGTACAATACATTCTCCAGAAATATCCATAATGTTATTTGAATTTTTAAACAAGAAAACCCATGGTTAATTATGAGCTGATTACAAGCTGATTACGAGCTGATTAGTAGCTGAGTAGTGGTGTATCACTGGCAAAATATTGGATAATTACAGGTAATATTTGAGAAACTCCAGAAAACATTTTACTAAGATGGGAATACTACTCAGAATTCCTCAAAGATATTCTCAAAAGCTTGGACAAACATTCGGGGAATCTGCAAAAATATTCCTCAGATTATGGTAATTGGGAAAGGGGGCCTAGCTGATTAGCAAATTCCCCAGAATTTGGTTAATCCAGCTAATTTCGACAATTCTGAGTACTTTTGGTAAGTTTTTGCAGATTTTTCTGAAGGCAGTTTTCCTGATGTGATGCAAGATCGCAATGATTCCATTCGGATAGTCGGTCTACTTGTTGTTACAGATGTGATATACGTAGCACTGGATAACCTGTTCCATTCCGATTGTTGACACTGCATACTATACTGGTACCGCAAAGACCAAACCCAATAGTCCAATAATAAGACGGGACAGTAGGCTTTTGCTTTATTCGTGGTTCCAATGGTTGAGCTCTGATCATAGGACGGGTTGTGGTTGTGCGATAGTTATATCTCGTCCAACCACAACACAGATCAAGGCAGAAGGATGACAAGAAGCTTAAAACCATTGATTCAATGGAATTTCCAGTGCATAACTAAGATTAAACAGGAGACGTACAAGCACTTAGCAGCGTAACAAAACGGTTGAACACGATCTTGGATGGCCCTATTTGGTCGTGCATTGGAATATGATTGTAACCAACCCGAATTCTGGTTTTCATGCGTGCATTTAAAGTACTGACTACTCTTCCAAATACGATTTTGATAAGTAGAAGGAATTAGAAAAGAGAGATTCCCATGATAAGAAGGGCTTTCCTTCCGAATTCTGTATCTATCTGTATCAAATTACAATCACAGAAATCGAACTACCATGGCTGAAGAATATCATTGTAATATAGTAATTGACTCCACGAAAGAACATCGAGCAAGAGATCCGCCGACTAGATTTTTTGCATTTGGTATGGTGAACTTATCCTTGATGTTGCCCGAGTTATTTGGGTGCGCGCTATCTTGATACCTAGCATTTTCACAAGCTGCCTGCCGGAAGCGGATGGACTATAAGCGCTGTAGCGGACTTGGACTTGGAATGAGAGCGCTTCTAATACCGGGCTCTTCCACAACTAAGCTACCAGAAGTCAATTCCCTATCACTTCGTGCGCAACAATCAGCTCGTTCCACTGAATGGATCTTGAGTTTATCCTCTATCCAAGAAGGAAGCTGCTTTAACGGCTTTTCTAGATTCGGACCCTATTCCTAGCAGGCCCATCCGGACGTATGTATGTGGTACATCTAAGAATGAGTCGTCAATGCCAATTCAATTTGCGAAATTTATTCTGCCACCTACATTTGCGACAGCAACACTTTCCAGCTCTGATAGGAGAGGATGGGAGCAGTTGGAACATTGCCTGACCAAACACAGAGACTGTAGTCGCGAGAGGTAGCTCTAGCTCGGCTCCAGTTTCATTGTCGTAGCAGCATATTTGCTTGAGCCCTTCGGGGACGAAAGCGACATACAGAGTTGTTACTTGGTGTAGAGTGATCATAAACTGCCACGTCAATATGCCATTGATAAAATCTCGTGGACCAAGTCCTTTGACTTCGTCCTCGGTATTCATGACAGGTTTTCAGATACTTCAACCTGTTTTCGGCAAGTCCTTATATCACGCTGTTGCCGATGAGATAGACCTAGGGTACTCAAGAGAAGGCGTGCAGAGCAGGATGGCGGATATGTATATGATTTTCCACTTCTGGCTTTCCTCCATGACGAACTCATAATTGAATTGCTTATGAGGAACTGTGGTTAATAAAATGATTGCACGTAAGGAAGAATAAATCTGACCTTTGTGAGGTTCAACTGCTGTTTGGGAGTGGGAACCACGTCACAGAACAGGAGCACTCCATGTTATCGGTACCTCCACACCCCCAGAATACTGATAAATCAGTGCAATGAGGGACATGAGAGTTTGTATGTTTGTGAAGTCTGAAGAGAATGTAACAGTTAAGCACGACAGAGCATGAAGAATGGAAGAAAAGTATACAATGAGATAATGGCTGATAATTAACGGGAAGTTCCCGTTATCTCAATGTATTTTCCTCACTTCAAGAGAGGAAAGGAAACAAGGGTAACAGCAGTCATGCTATAGGAGCCACATTAAAGAAGGGCTAATCGGTCCAAGCAAGGACCTGCGAAGGAATCAGTCGGGTCCAAGTATCAGTTTGGGGAGAACAGCCCTCGTAGACTTGTAGTGTCTTGAGATTAGCCTAGAGAGGAGAGTAGTTAGTAGTAATAGAAAATAAACACTTAGTGTTGGACACAAATCGTTCACGCAACGATTTTACAGTTCACGATACACAGTGAGAGTTACACCAAAAAGGGGAATAAATTCGTTTGGTAAGTACATCTTGATATTTGACTCGGGCGGCCACACGTTCTCTTGTGTCGCCCGACGTCGTACATGCCAATCAGAAATATATATAACATTTGATAAAGAAAAGAGTCCGTCGAAGGTGAATATCACTAACTTCCCAAAGCTTCCAGCGCGTCCGAATGCGACTCGGGATTACACACAAGACTGGTTGACCGTACCGCTCGCCTACGACCATCAGCGAGGACAATTGGGTGGCTCAAGCCCAATGCCTGGTATGGGTGTGCTCCGAGGAAGCAATTCGGCGGCCTTGGCAGTTGGTAGGCATCGTGATGCGGGAGGGGGAAGAATGATCAAACAAAGTTGAGAGAGAAAAAAGAAAGTGAAAGCATAAGTATAGTAACGTACTGCAACCCAATGATCCTACCCAAACACTCCCTCCAATGATTCTGAATCCCGAGCTTGTTGGATAGAGTACCGCGTTGAATAATTGGCGAAATGAATATTGTTGAAACGGCGAGGAAACAAAACCAAAACCCGACCGTCAGATCGTGATAAGCTGAATGTGGCGCAGCGGGCTGACATTGCGTCGAAAAGGGAAGAGTGAGAAGTATGAGAGGAATAAGAGAGGGACGAGAATGAGATGATGGTGGTTGAAGAAGAAGAAGGAAAGGAATTATGTAACAGTCCGGAGTGCAATACAAATAAAATAAAGTATGGTTGAAAATGTCACGAAGCGGCAGAGGCGGAGTGACTAGCGGAGCAGGAAGCGGGGTGACTAAGCCAGGCAGTGAGGCGGAGCAACTAAGCAGGTGAGTGAGGCGGAGCGACTAAGCGGAGCGGAGGCGAACTGGTCCCAGATAATGACAGAGATATATTGAGTATCGTAGTCATAGGTAATAATAAGTAAGCACATACCTGGTCCCAGATAATGACAGAGAGGTCAAGATAAGGGACCAGGCTGTGGAGGGTTGGCTATATATACATAATCTAGTCTGCGAGAAACAACAATGTAATACTGTACAGTTCAGGGGCAAGGAAGGAGGCGGAAGCCGATAGAAAGAGAAGGTGGGTCAGGTGGATCAGTAATAGATAGATCAGTAATCGATGGAGATTGACAGCGATGGGATGATGTATTGTACAAGTAAAGGCGTCGAGACGGTGAGAAAGGGAAAATGATAGGGGCTGCGTACTTTATGACAGAAAAGGTATAAGAGGTGTGTGGCTACCAACAAAGCAAGCCACACTCCCACAATGTATATCATCAGAGGTGAACAGTCTGAATGGTCTCGATTCTCACTGGAATCATTCAGGTTATTCGATTGAGTCCAGAATCTTCTCAGGCAAAAAGTCTTTTTTTGTAACAGGAACCTTGTAGTATTATAAATTGCTGAGTACGAGCAAAAGGTGTCGAACATTCAGGTCGGGGTCACTTGTCACTTGTGTCGCCATGAGATCAGTCCAAGGCCCAGAATTTTATGATGAAATTGTCGCTCAGTTTTGTCCTGCACAGACTCGAGCGACATATATTAAAATTGTCAGTGAGTTTCTACCACATTTTTGAGATGGAGCAGAGCAAGGTTGAAGGAAAGAAGAATGAATAATTGCAAACTTACTGTTATTGAGTAGTGAATAGGCCTTGCCTGGACTCATCGTGTTCCCAATCCGGATTAGACACCTCACGAGGCATATGCACGAGCTGGCGGCGATCAATCCAGATTCACTTCTGATTCACTTTGTTCAAATTTTAAGAGATACTCCAACTTCCTTTTCAACGTCAAGCCCAGTGGTAATCCTCTAAGTGACCATAATGTACAATTTCTTCGGCACGGGCAAGGGTCTCTGAATGCGCTCGGTGAATTGTTGCACTGTTTGCGTGGTTCGGCTGTGGGTCACCAAATCAAATCTTTGGCTGAATGGTCTTCTATCAGTTTACGAGTGTCAAGGAAAATTCCAGAGTCTACGGAGAAACAGCTGTTTGGCCCAGGGTACCACGCAGAAGCGAAGGTACTGTCGGAGTCTAGACTTCAATCGCAGAAACTTGATTTGCAAAATCAATTTTTTGCGCCAACCAGTATTCAAAGTATTCACAATCGAGCTACCAGCTGGGTTTGGCTTGAGTAACTCTCGAGTCTATCGTCCTCTGTAACTCCTCTATCCGTCTCATTCGCAGTGGAATACTACCAAGGGACCCGGAAGGAGATTCTCAATCGTCTCGTATCAGGAACTGCAGTAGCAATATCATTCCGGTAAACTGAACTTCTATCTTTTCGCGTCTGTGTAATTTCGCTAACAACTCCATAGTCTTGCAAAATACCTACTCAATATCTCAGTCAGCAAGCCCTGTAATCACTGAAAGAAATTGCATTCGTCCACCGAATGGACTCATATAAATACAAGTAATGCACAACGACTGTCCCCAGCACTTCAGCAATGACTCCACTAATTCTTGTATGTCACTTTTGTCCTGCAAGAGAAATCATACACTAGCTCACGTCCCTCTGACATGTTCAGGTAACTGGCGGCACAGGCTTTCTCGGCTCGCATGTCATGGCACAACTCTTGGAGAAAGGTTATTGTGTCCGATCTGCAGCTCGGTCTGCTACCAAACAACGAAAAATATTTCCAGATAACCCAAATCTCGGGCCACTAGCATTTGCAGTATCACCTGCAATGACATATATATTTGAGTAACTGCAGTGCTACTGCATGTCACTGCATATGTCACTGCAGGACTACTGCACATGTCACTGCATTTGGTACTGTAAATGTTCTGTGCCCTGTACTGTGTACGGCATCATCCGAATTTGGGATAAGTACTCACGGTTCCGCTACGGGCCGCACGATTTTTGAAAGTTCGACAACAAAGTTGAGATATCTACATCTGCCAAGCCAAAGCTCGAGATTGTGTAAAACTGTAAACATGTTCCATAACAAAATCATGGAACAGGTAGGCGTTTGACGGCAAAGGCAATCCTACTTTTGGGTCTCTTGATCCTCTCGCAAGTTAGCATGAACTGCGAGATTCTTGACAACGTCGTTTCGAACTGAATTATGTAACCTTCGGACAGGGATAGAAAGTCAATGCAGATGTATCAATTTGATTCGAGATCTCCTCGAAAGACCTGCTGTACCATATATACTGGATATTATGATAAACTTGTGTACACAACTTCATCTGCAAAACCTGTATTTTCGGCTAAGGGTCCGAAAGTGGTTGAGAGCACTTCCCAGCAGTGAAAGCACCCAGAGCATGTTGCTTTCAGTGCTTTCAGCACTGGGATCTGCTGGGATCTGCTCTCAGCCCTTAGCCAAATATCCAGGTTTTGCAGATGTTATCTCAGTGCAATAGCCGGAGCTTACAAAGGATGAGGCTTTTTATAGTGGGAGCTTCACCTTGGTAAGCGAAAGGAAAAAATTGTACACGAGAGTTAAGTATGGCACATCTGTAAAACCTGGATTTTCGGCTAATAGCTGGAGAGCAGCTGACAGTGCTGTCCAGCTGGGAAAGCACTCCCAGCAGCTGATCAATACTGCTGGGAGTGCTTTCAGTGCTGGACAGCGCTCTCCAGCCAGTATCCTTGCTCTGGCGAACATCCATGTTTTGCAGATGCATTCTATCTTGGTTGCGAGTATGTTAACTGGGTCGTTGTGTATAATAAGTTGGCCCATGTAGAAAGTGCGAATGGGTCCTGACACTACTACGAACGTCCCACTGAACTGGCCAGAGAGTGCGCCAGATTCGAACGGTGCCGGGTGGAAGTCAAATCCTACAGCCTGTATCTGTGTATGACTTGGGTTGATAGTGAGAATGAACCCGGTTTGAAACTGGACAGATTGTGTCAATGAATGATGGATTGAATGACAGGGAGTAATACATACTATCGATTCTGGTCCAAATCCTCGACATTCAATGGAGGCACCACATCGCGCGTCAAAAGTCTTGCAGCACGAGCACTGAATACATGGCGCTTTCCATGTACGAGTGAGCTCAAATACAAGGAGTCACGATTTTAGTTTATGCATGAAGTTGCTGATCATATTAATCACTGTGGGTGAACAGTGATCGTCATGATCGATATTCCGCCATTTGGTCTTATTTTCTTGTCGAACGCGTTTATAATTATCACCTCTCGCTGTGTGCTTGAGAGTGATTCAAACGGCCGGAGTGTCAAATCTGTGAGTTTTCTATGTCTAGCTTAGTATGTAGTGATGCAGACTGTGCAGACTTAACCACTTCCACTTCTACTGTGTGTTGAGTAATCGAATTCCTGTCTTCGAGAGTGCTACATTCCACTGCTCTGACCTAGGGGACTGTTGGTGGTCTGTAGGCTAACGGAATGTCCAAAGGAATTCAAATTACAATTCCCGGTGAGTTGAGCAATCCAACTTCGTATTGTCTTCCTTGTTTATTCTTCTTCAGATTTTGACGATGAGGACTATGGCTCTTCTACAATACCATTTGGACGTTCCGCTGGCAATTTATTTGGAGCAAACTCTTCCGGGTTCAGCAGTGCAGGAGGTGTTGGAGGAACCAGCTCTGCGCCAGATTTGCCTACTTCAATAACACCATTAGCTTCTGCGTTAGATGGAACTGAAAGAAGCTTTTTCAGCTCTCACAACAGAGGCGATTCCATCACCACTATTGAGTCGGCTGCTTTTGGCTCTACACGTTTCCCCAATTATCCCCAGTCAGCTACCTCTTTCAGCACCTTTACTCATTCTCCTCAGCCATCAGTAACAGCGTCCAGTGCAAGCTTCAGTAAAAAATCCTCCTTTGCCTCCTTTCGCAATGCCTTTAAAAACGGGAAGTCCAATGAACTTCCGCCAGTTCCTCAGCTCGACCATTGCGTGTTCAAGAACTCCTTCAACAGATCCACGTCGTCTTTGAACAGCTCCTCTATTGGAGTCACTGCAAAAGGGGCCATCACCACTAGTCCACCTTTTGGTCGACCACCTACTCCTGGTTCCGTCAATACGAGATACGGTCGCGCCAAAAAGAGTCATGCTCAAGCTAAATTGTTTCATTCCCAGTCCGGTTCCATCTTCCACGCATCTGATGGTGGTAGTGAAGGCCATGGTATATCCTCGTCCCCTCCTCCTGTACCTCGCGTGCCGTATATCTGCAGTGAAACTCCGGACTTTGAAGACAATAAGGTCGTCATGGACCCCAAAACACTATCGGATTATGCATTGCACGCTGTCTTTATACGGTTTGCCTCTTCTCCCGAATCCAAGATTGACGCATTTTTGCGGCAACCACTTGAACAAGATCCGCTTCTTCCTGAGCTTATAGGGCCTGACGTCGACCCCAAATTGGACGAGACACTTCTTTCGCTCAGGCAAATAGCGCAAAAGCATACAAAGCCGGTCATTAACTCTATTCTTCGGTGGAGGCGAAGTCAAGTGGAGAACGTAGGCTCAGACGTGATTCGGTACCATATGTCACATTCGCCAACGGGAACAGCATGCGTTATACGAACACACGACGTACCCGCGCTCTTGAATGAACGCAAAAATCTCGCTGCTATCTACATCATGTGTCGCGCACTCGACGCAGTGGTAAAGACACTTTCAAAAGATGCAATCGGCGAGAATTTAGGATACTCGCTAGAGAAACCGACCTTCGATCAGTTTCAAAAGCCTGAGTTGAAACTCCTCATGCAGAGCACAAATCATCGGACAAATGCAGAGCTTTCTGCTGCATTGTTAGGACATCTGGCTAATATCAGGTACGTCGTAGCCCTCATTGTAAATCAGAGGACTAGGGGGGCGGTGTGGATAGGATAGGATAGGATATAAATTATACTGGCGAGGTCCGATTCCCTGTAGTGGTGGCATCACACAAGTTTCGCACTAGAATCTTTGATATCCGCAAAGTCTCTAGTTCGAACACTGCCCTGGCATATGGTCCTCGTGCCCAAATCAGCACCACAGGGAGTTATAGTGGGTAGTCTTCACCTAATGACTTGATTAGGCTGGTTGATAGTCCCACACTACTTGCTGCTGGGAAAACTGTACCAGGTCCCAGTGTGCGTAAATGCATTCTTCCTTGGAGTTGATCATTCCGGGACTGTTACTGACCAATCACAAGGTCATTGATCCTTGTATCAACCTGCGTAGACCTTGGAGATGATGGCTTAGTGCGGCTGGCTATATGCCAGTGTGTCGGCTGCCAAGGCTCTGTAATAGCGCTTTCGCTGAAACTTTGATTCACCTTTTGCACCCTATAGGAAAGGTTCACATGTTCGGCTTATTTTTTCGTTCAAATTTCAAAGTTCACGTCAGACTGCTCAAGCTGAAACCAACTTTCCATTATGGGGCAAGGCTATTGAACTTATTTATCCTAAAGCTCGTGATATGGCAGCCAAACCACGGTATTGGAACGTCGCCTTTCCGTTAATGATTACCAGCCTCTGTGTCGCTCCGCAAGATTTCTACCAAAAACATTGGGTTGCTTGCTTTGAGGTTTCAATCCCCAAATTGAAGGTATCCACTTACTTCATGTGTATCTACCACCGCTAATTCGCTGCAGGAAAAATCTCTGCATATACCGGTTCTCAATGGGATGATGCGCCTCATTTGGACTTATCTATATCGTTGCCAAGAATCCCCTTCGACTACCACGACCAGATTGGAAAACCTGTTGAAGCACTTTTTCCCACCGAATAGGACCACCATCTATGCAAACAAAGATCATCTCGAGCCCTTTATCTATATCGTTCATTTCGTTCTTTCACGGCATTTTGAATTCGGAAGAGACTTATGTTTTGAGCTTATACAAGAATCGTCCATCAATTCGGCTTATCAGACTAAAGGAGGAAGTCTTGCTCATACCTTCGCATCCAAACGGCCATTGATTGCCACTCAAGCTATTCTAATGACATTGCATGGCATGGAAAGGGACTCTTCAACACCTAGCTGGCTGACCACTGTTGACTTTTTTGAACCTTCTTGTTGGTCCGACTATCCTACTTCGTCCGATATCCTCCCTGCGTCCATCTTATTGCGTCCCGGAATGCAAGACTTTTTTGATAGATATGGTTCCGCGCTTGCCAATATTGCTAGTGCGTGTGGGAATGGTGTTGGTCGAATGTCGATCTTCGACGAACAATGGTCCTGGGCACGTTTGAACCCTTCTTATGAAGAGTCGCACAATTATATTAGGCAAAAACGCCTCGAGGTTGGAAACGTAGGGTATCCGACGAATTTGATATCCCAAATCAACCTCTTGCAGACTTGCTTCATGTCATGGCCGAGGTGTCACCATCCTTCCTTGCCTGTAGCCGAAGACGTTGACATGCTTTTGCAAGGCGTAGTCCATGTGGAACCATCCATTGGGGATGTTGCATGTGAAGCACTCCGACTTATCTCTCTCCATTCAGTTTCTATTTTCTATGCTCATATTAATTATAGTTGCATTAATATACTTATATAGAGGGCACTTGCATATATCCCTTCAATAATGGACCAATCATTATCAAGGACTTTCTATGTGCAAAAGTTTGTCTGTCTCCCAGTTGAACCTTTTTAGCTGGCCTATGCCTACCTATACGTCGGATTCCATCCTATCCCGTCAGTGATTAGGGAAAGCCCTTGTTCAGTCTCCTTTACTGGTTTGATCCCTTGGATTTCTAGATGCAATTTCGAAGCCTCCATCGACCTCGATGGGGTCAGTTGTACTTCAACATAATTTTGAACTCTGCCGCAAACACGGGAATACTACAATACTGTTCAAAAGCGCTTCCCGTTGTGTGTTACCAAATAGCGGGACCAATGTGGCACATAAATAATTGTCGTCTTTCAGTTTCGACGGTTACCGCTGGCCCTCATTCCAGTATACTTCACATCCAGACTATACACGATGTTGACTGAGTATATTATTCCCCAAACTCAGTGCTGCTGTGATAGAAGAAGCCGGAGGTGAACTGAAAATCAAGAAGGATCACCCTGTCAAGAGGCCAGAAGAGCTCGCGCCTGGAGAATACCTTGTCAAGCTCGAATGTTCTGGTTCGTGTTTTCCTCGCGCTCGTCGATGCCACAGTGATTTGCATGCTGCACTCGGCGACTGGCCCGTTCCCCCTCGCCTGCCTCTTATTGGAGGACACGAAGGTGTCGGAATCGTTGTTGCGATTGGTAGGAATACCGTTGACTCTCCTGTCAAACTTGGTGACCGCGTTGGAATCAAGTGGGTTGCAAACAGCTGCCTGAATTGCGAACAATGTAGAAAAGGAAGAAAGCGGAGTGAGTATCCTAGCTATAGACCTTACTTGGGTTGCCCATGTTTCTTTCTGTTTCGTTTTTTGCGAATCATCCTTTCAACTGCTTTTGATACTTACTTTCGAATAGACTGCGCCAAAGCCCTATATAGCGGTTACGCCATTGATGGAACTTTCCAGGAATACGTTGTATCATATGTGAATTACGTCATGCCCATTCCGAAGGGATTCCCTAGCGACGCTCCTGCTTCTGTCCTGTGCACAGGAGTGACAGTCTACCGCGCTATCAAGAACAGTCAGACAAACCCTGGTGATTGGATTGTCATTCCCGGTGCCAGAGGAGGTTTAGGACATGTAGGTATGCGCTACACATTTTCACACATTTTATCCGTCAAGAATTGTCCCTCAAATTGCTTAGCTGTCCAGTACGCTCGTGTCCGCGGTCTTTGTGTGATCGCCATTGACACTGGTGTTGAGAAGAAAAATTTGTGTCTCAAGCTTGGAGCAGAAAAGTGGATAGATTTCAAGGAAAGTAAAGATAGCGTCAAGCAAGGGCACAGAACATTTGCAGTACCATATGCAGTGACATGTGCAGTAGACCTGCAGTCACATATGCAGTGACATGCAGTAGCACACAGTAGCACTGCAGTTACTTAAATATATATGTAAATAGATGCACTGCAGTGGAATGCAGATACCATGCAGTGACTGTCACTGCAGGTGGTACTGCAAATGCTAGTGGCCCACGACTGATGCCATTGGCTGTTACTCAATTGTATTGTTTCCCTCAAGACATTCTCTCCGCAATGTTTTGTACCAGTTCGTACCTTTCTGAATCTTTCATCATACGGTCCCTTTGGATAACGAATACAGTGCCTACCTACATGGGCCCACGTAGGCCTACATATAGCAACAGCTCTGCAGTGTGCTGAGGATGCGCTGTACTCTTCTTGTTCAGATTTGGTTCTGTCGGAAGTCGCTGCAGTGAAATGCATTGCGACGCCCAGGACACTCCGGGACAGCCTTCAAAGCATATTATTACCGGACCTGACGAGTGTGATAAAACCAGATTGCTATTTGGACTTCTCAACCCACACGATCTCTATATAAACGTTTCTCTACTTGTTGCCAGTGACACTCGTTATGGCCATATTACATGCTTTCGCAACTTGCAAAGCTCTTTAGAACGGTGATTCCACCGGCATTCACAATTTCTTTTCGAATAGCAGAGCCGCCGATATCCCCGGAAGACCGATGGCGAGAGCCAGTTTGATGAACATCATCGGCAGCTGTACGCAACGCAGTGAGCAGCCAGTCGACCACCCCAGCCTATTATTCAAAAGTCAGATGGTGGAATAGAACAGATACAACTGCTTGACCGACCTCCACTAAAGTCTGCCGAATCTTTCTGCTCCATTTGGCACAGCTGAACCTTTGAACAGTGAAACCGAGAAAACCAAGGGCTTGTAAATTTTCGGAGGTAAGTACCGTAGGCAGACGAGCAAGCCCTTTGGCAACATCGGCTTCGAGAAGTATCCTTGCCATATCACTGCTGTTTGGTCGCATGAGACATCCGACGGCTCTTGCAGTCCAATGTAGAACGTTGGGGTCGGTCGAGGTGTTAAGATGATGGACTATGAGCTCCATACAACCGGCTTTGGCCAAATATTTCGCTAATTTGATTGAACAAGACATTCGTGCAGTGGCGTAAAGACTGGCGCAAAAATGGTCTGGATTCTGCCTTGGACTCTCAGTACTTTGCCATAGATGGGACACGATGAAGGGGATGATATCCATGGCGGCGAGAAAATCAGCTGTTGCGTCATTCTGAACTACTGTACTGAGACAATAGACCGACATGCTGATCAAGTGCATGTCTCCAATAGCATTTTGCCTGAGAAGGACAGATACAATATTAGTTTTGATCAGTCCTTGGGCAACCTCCGGGCTACGACATATCCTGAACAGACACCAGACAGCAAGGAGAGATATCTCGTTGGATATGGTCGATTTGCAGAGTTCGATCAGCGTCAATGTTGTGTTGGTCCGGTATTATCATGTTGACGCTGATAGAGTCGTACTTATTGAATGGTGGGTGCTATATGACTTTCATCGAGATCAGATAATCAGAAAGGAACATACGCGAGAGTGCCCAAAGTGATGAGAACAATCTCAAGCCCTTCAACCTCAGCGGCGCGAGTTTTCAATAGATGTATCAGTGCAGGGACTGCACCAGCCATTACCAGCTTGTGCGCTTCCTTATAGGATTCTGAAGCAGAATGGTATATTTTGGCAACGTATGAATCTATTGCTTCCGCATTGCGACTGCTATTCAGCTCAGTTTGTAATGCACTGATCAGTAAAACTGCAATAGTTCGCCCTATGATAATCGGCAGTGGTTGAGTTGAAAGATAAGGGGGGGAACTTCAATTGTCTACCTTTGGTACTCCTGGACCTACTTGATTCAGTGCGAATTGACACTACGTTTGAAAAGGATTCAACCTGTCGTCCAGGATTGTATGGCCTTTGACTTACAGCTATTACCGTAATTATGTGGAATTCGATTTTTTTGAAAAGTTGTAAGGTTGTGTTTGGCATCACCTTCTCTTAGACGTGCATCTACACTTTCATTGATATTTGCGCGTTGTCGACATCGTCTATTAGCTCAGTCCCTATGTCGAGCTCAGATGAGAATGAAGAGGACACCACCTCGCATGAGACAGAAGTTACAGTATCTCTGACTACGTATACACTTACAAAGCCCAAGACGAAAAAAGCAGTAGCTGTCTTGAAAAAAGATACTGGCACACCGAAAACAAAGTCAATCCAGTTTGCATTTATAGCAAATGAGGATAACCATATCTTGCTGATGAACACCCTTCTCACAACAATGGGACTGACACAATACAAAGCAACTAAAAAGAGGCCGTTCTGTATGAAGATGGCAATCCCACCCAAAAAGACGTATGTTGCCCTTGCATTCATTCCATTTTGGGGTTTTGATATCATCTTTAGGAAAGGTCAAGGTTCAGATGTCGAGAGCACTTTAGAGTACATTGCTCAAGCTGCAAAGATCATTGAGAGTAAGACAAATGCCACAGTCTTCGTGTGGATTGATGGAAAGGAAATACTAGAATCATGCAGAAAGGTATGTCCAACTGATTGATGGTATGCATTTCGTGCGCTCACTGAGTAAATAAATAGTTGATGCGCGACTCAGCAGGAAGTGATAATGATGAAAACGGCGATGAGTTTGATGATGTATGTATTCATCTCGATCCACTTTGTACATTATACTAACTTGGTTGATAGGATGATAGTTCGATGAGCCCGATGGAACAGGAACTTGCCCGCATCAGAATTATACTGGAAAAACAACATGGAAATGACTACGATCTGACATATACATATATTGATCCTACAACAGCCGAAAAGTTTGCTCTCTCACCGAATGCCATAGATGAATGGACCAGAGCTATAGTACGTGATACTTACCTTTGCTAATTGCTTTGACCTGACATCGATATAGTACAGTGGTTTAGCTGATAAGTTCAGGCCACCATCAAACGATGACAGCCCAAATTTCGGTGCAGCAAATCGACAGTCATCTATACAACCATTTGGTCCTCTCCGTTCATCTTCTGCACATCATCATCAACTTGCACCTGCAGCTGTAAACCCAGGTGAAAAGTCAGACTTGGCGCATTTTGCCACGATCATGTCCATGATTGTTCCACCTCGTCCCATGCAATCTCCTATACCTTCTTCATCCTCGTTGGCCCCACTGTTGAGCCCTGCTAAAAACACTCCAACCAAACTCCGCCGTTTTCTCGAGTATGCCGAATCTGATGCTGGGGTCAAAAATGCAACATATCACCTGTTCGCACTCGAGAATAAAGGGTATGGACCTGATATTCTTGAATGTGTAGAGGACAAGGACTTGGTAGATCTTGGTATAAAACATGGAGATGCCATGCGTTTGAAGCGCGCAGCACCGATCTGGTTCAATGGACCTGAGGCAAAACGAAAACAACCACTTGCCCCATTGGCTCAACCAGACCAGCATCAAAATCGGACACGTTTCGAGAAGAGATGGATCGATGGTGGGCGCTTTTCCACTTCAGGAAGATCAATGCGACGGTTAGATGATGGTGAAAAACTTGATCCTTCTTATAGTTGGTTTTACTTCTCCGAACTTGCACATTCAATGATTCCTGTTCCCAAAAATTTTGTACCAGTCATTGATGGTGAGTCTGAACTTGAGGAACTATAGACTATGTCTTTCTTGTCTCCGTCGCTTATTACATCCACTTTCCGTGATATTCTTGACATGTTTGCATATAATTGTATCATATATAGGATTATAACTGTACATATAATGCCCTCAATGGCTACCAATGAATTATACTACATATCCTGATGCATGAAAGAAACCCCAAGCTTTTGAAGGTGTGATTATTCTGCAAGCTCGGTCAATGATACTCAGAGTGATATCTTTCCAGTTCCGTCGAAGGAAGGCCTTTATTGCCAAAAAAGCTTGTTCAATAGGATTAAGATCCAGAGAGTATGGAGGGAGAAAAACCAGCTTGCACACTAGATAGAGAATTAGTAGATAATAATAATATGCAGCACTGGATTGTACATACAACTTCGATCTTCAATAAGCTCTCGGACCTCTTCAGAGTGATGAATACTGCAATTGTCCATTATAATAACACTGCAAGGGCCTGGATAAGGATTGGTCAATGGCATCTATTCAAATGTGAGCATAACAAAGACTAGATAAATATATTTGACACACAACATGGCGTTCCAAAAACTTCAGAAACTTCAGAGATGTCACCGAACCAGGAATAACATCATAGGCAACAATGCCATCAAGAGTTATTGCTAGCAGTATAGACACACGTTCTCCGCGGACAAACTGCCTCCGTTGCACACAGCGATGACCTCGTTTTGCACGCCCATACTTCCGAAGAGACGTCTTGGCATTACGAGCAGCCTCATCAATGAACATAAGCATGTCTGGTCGTGGCACCAGCTTAGCTATCTGCAGCATGAAATGTGCCCGCTCAAGGTCATTGCGCTCGAGCGCCCGTACAGAGACAGTCTTCCGAGAAAGGTCTAATTTTCGAAGTGCACGTACAAGTGCTTGCACTGAGACATGAACTCGGCGACATCTTTCTAGCTCTGCTTGTATTTCATCCAAGTAAATGCAAGGTCGGAGATCAATGAGAGCAGAGAGATAGTGAGTATCAGTGTCATTCAAAAGAGAGGGTCGGCCCTGTCGATGCAAGGCAGGTTGACATCGTCCATGGTCCCGATACTGCGCAAGGATATGATAAACAACGGATTTCTTCATCCCGAGGTGGTAACAGATATTCTTCACTGAAACCTGCTGTTCCCAAAACATTACTGGTACCCGAACCCGCATATCTTCAGAGAATCGACGCATAGTACATGCAAGTAAACCAAGGGTGAAAACTTGACATGTGATCTTGCCAAACACAACCTCACAGGTTTTCAAAAAATCAAATTCCATATAATTACGGAAAGGGCTGTAATTCCCACCGCCGAGTGTACGAATCTCGAGGCCCTTGTGAGTCGACTCGAGGGAGAGCTTCACCTATAGTGGTCATGTTGGAAAAACTGGAAGTCGAACCACTGCGTTTGGTAGAACCTCCCTTTCCTGTTATAGAGCGGAATATGAATAAATGGACTCTGGCCCTGGTAAAAGTCAATCTTATGAGTACGAGATCTGCATGCAGATGGCGAAGATTCGGGAGAAGTAATAGGAGTGTCGACTGAGCGGCTTGAGGAAGAACTTCCTGAAGATCGTTCCGTACCGGGGACCAAGGAAGAACACCAGCTGTAGCTGGACGGTGAGTGTATCAGAGGACTGGGAGGCCCTACATTGGCCGGAAACGGTTGGACTGCTGCTGGTGCAGTATTAGGTGGACTAGGTTGAGATGGGCCACCAGTTTCATCACCGACTCGGCTACCCGCTGTCGACGAATACCAACTATAATAATGCGCAGCAGGCGGAATTTCCTGGCTGCTAGAGGTAGATCCCACTCTGTGGAAGGAAAACTGTTGGAGCGTAGGTGGAGCAGACATTGGGGTCTGTGCCTCTTCGAGTTCGTAAGCAGGAGGCCCACCACAGCCAGAGGCCACGGAAAAACGAGAAGGATATACCGGTGAAAGAGAGGTAGTTGCTGCATGGCGTGTAATATCAGCCTGACGATGAAATCAAAGGTTGGACGGCTACGAGGTTCCTGATGGACGACTAGATGATAGATGTGTTTTTCAGAAAGGACACCCCAAGGTAAAACCGAAGCAAAAATCTGAACTAATGTTAGAGCCACTGATTTTTGGCTAAATCCAAGTAATTCGTTACCTCCAGTGCACACATTGCCAAAGAATAGACGTCAGATGCTCGGGAGCGAGGGTTAGTTTAAATGCGGCAAATATTAGACCCCCGTTCAAATGGTGCAAGATAGAAAACATACTCCTTTCAAGGATTCGGGGCTTAAATATTGGTAGGCTTGGGGATACCTAGAAGTATGTTGAAACACGAACATGCTATACTCGGAGATATTGACGTGATCGTCATTTGTTATAAAGATATTCGCGGGGTGAAGGTTTCCATGTATCAGACCGTTCTAAAAATTCAATGAGCAAATATTCGATTGATAGTTTTGTACTGACTCGCCTTGTGCAAGTACTGCATTCCGCAAGTACTGCATTCCAGACACGGCCTCGAAAACCTACAAGAGTTCAGCGTACATTATCGTAACGGAAATGATGAACATGCTATTTGTTGGCGATTCGACTGTGGGTTTGAGCCAGGTAGTGATGAATGTTTCCAGGATCATAGAAAGAGGATCCAAGGCACGATCTGCTATTCCGCATATTCTGGAGACGTGAGGGTGTACACAACTACGCCAATGTCTAGCATGAGCTTCTAGCATCTACAGACGGTGAATATGTGATACTCCAAGCGTGCAACCGCGACGTACCTCTTCTGATACATCTAAGGCCATCCTTTTCACTACGACAACTTGCTCATTCCACCGGGCTGATGTCATTCTCAGAAGTACTTCGTGATGATATATTGTTAGTGGTGTTTACTTGAATAGTGGTCCTAGTTTATCTTATTTCCCTACATACATCGGTTTATCATCTGACATCCTCGTTGAACGTTGAATTCTCGTTGTACACACAGAGTGACGAGAATTTTGATCACATTCTTTGGGGAGATTGACACGTTGACATCGAGCGCAATTGATATGGAAATTTAGAGGAAAACGTGTGTTAGAATCGATGAGGACTCAGTATGTACTCAGTCTCTGAGAGCCTCGAGCAAACCTCGAGGTGGAATAAATTTAATTAATGCCGTCAGCATTTCGGGAAGAAACGCCGGAAAAACGATAGTTGGAAGTGTGGATAATCGGTGACTTGTTCCAGCTTGTTCCATCACCACCAATCTCAATTTCAGCTTCACTCTTTCTACTCAGCGGGCTACCTGGAGCGTGGAGTCGAAGAGAACCTTGCGTTTTATGCTCATGATACTTGGTATTTCAATATACCCAGTTGTATAGGTTTTCTTTTTCGAATAAATTGGTGTGTAAACATTATACTGTGCATCGTACTCAATCATTCAAAGAAAAGAACGATTGCTGACTGGTAACAGCAGCCTGTGCATATAATTGCCCAACAACCTTGTTTGAAAGAGTCAAAGTCAAGAAATCTGTGTTTAGGTGCATGTTTTGGTCCGGTAATACGCGCGTCCTCCGTGTAGGATCTCCTTCCTCTCCTCATGATGAATTCTCGTCTTCTACTTCTAATGATAAAACCCTCACGAAAATTAACGATGAATACGAAACTTACTGCCAAGCGGTGACACCTCCTGCTGCATATCCATCCCCTCCTCACACAGATGTCGACGCTGTTTGCAAGATACCACTTGCCCCGTTTATGTCCGGTCTGTATCCTCATGATGATGAAGAGGACTACCCTGACGCCTCACACTCTAAGCAAAATATGCGCCACGCAATGTCCACAAGTCCTATCGGTGGAGCCCTTGACTCCCCACTCATCTATCTGCAACACCCAGCGCCCCTTTCCCCTCCGCCTACATTTCCCGCACCCACTACGCTTCTCCCCCGGCCGAAGAAGACCACGGAGATACCCTTAATGTTGTTTTACCTTCGAGCCTGCTGGGGTCTTCTCAGGAGTATCATTACTCATGCAACTCTGCGCTCCCTTTCTCAGCGCTCGAGATCGATCAGAATGATCAGTCCGATTTGGCGCCACTGAATCCGCATCTACTTTCACCTCTATCACCGCAGTTTGTCACGGAATCTCCGTGATTGGCCATGTAAATCAATCACCGCGCTCCCCTTCAGACGGTATTGGCGCTACAAGGTTCAGAATTGGATCGTAGTCCTTGGGCCTTTATTCGCTCTTACTTGACCAGACAGGAATTCCCTCACCTGCTTCTCCGAGTTTCGGCATGTACGAAGAATACAAGTGTCCATGGACGCCACGTTCACTTGATTCTTCATCGAATGACGATGGGACTGCAAGATATATCACAAAATCAATGACGACGGCGCCGCATCTATCTTATCCTTCTCCCAAATCATCGCATTGGCCACACCAAATTCCTTTGCATCCGCCATCCCATCCACCTTTCCTATCGCCAGATATATCTACTGAGCTCCCCATGCAATCGGAGTTTCCACACCCTAGTTCACCCTCAATACGATATATCGAGCTCCATGGTCCTGTTTATGACAGTGAAGCCCCAGGCTCTCAATCTCCTTCAATACGGACTTTTGAGCTCCCTGAATTGGAGGAAGACGAAGATTTGGAAACCGGCTTCCATTCCGCATTGGGATTGTCTCTGACTTCGTTTCCGACCATGAGCGAGATTTCGCTGGCGCCAGAAGACAGTTCTTCGAGATTCTCTTCATTATCACAGTATATTCTACAAAATTCTCCATCACTCATAACGTGTTCACCTCCAATCTCTGGTGCAATCTAAAAACCCACGCTAGAGTCTAATTGGGATACCCCGACTTCAGACTTATCTCCAGCTAATTTCAACGACGCGGGGTATGATAGTGCCACTCCATCCAGTATGCTTTTACTTGATGTGAACATCGAATCCTCACAGAACATCAAGTTTAACCCTGGCAGGCTACCTTCTCCCAACACGCTGGTAGAATCCCTTGATTCCCGTTCATCCCACCTTCCTCTTGATTCCTCTCCTTCCGATATCCCTTCATATGCCGATTGCCCCGAGTACGCTGTCCTTCGTGCTCAGCCAGACCTATATCAATGTCTGCTCCGACTCCTTGCCCTGCACAGGAAAGCACAGATATCTGAGAAGGAGGCGAAAATTAGGGAAAGAGAGCTTGTACCTCTAGTGGAGTTGACCGATATGTGCGGTGCCGGAGAAAAAATAGTGTCAACATTGAATGTAGCTCCGGTCAAGCTCCCATCGTCATAATCGGCAGTAGTTGAGGCAGAGAAGACGGAAGCAAAATCTACGAGGCAACGCGAAAAGGAGAGACGTCGGGAGGTCGCTGCAATCGTAGCGTTAACTCTATTCGGTGGCACTCATGATGATACGAAATCAAGCCCAAGTGACGGTAGAGTAGAAGTTGGTTCAACATTGAAGTCGAGACAAACCTCTAACTATAATAACTGGGAATTTGTACAAGGAGCCAAAGGAGAGGACCAAGAAGAAGAAGAAGATAACGTTCATGAGTATGGCACGGCTCATCGCGAGGATGATTTTACGCAGGAGAGATCACTTCCCCCCGCTAATGTCGTTTGCTCGTCCCATCTCTCACCAGCTATTGTTTTCACCACAGGGCATTAGACCGAGACGATATATCAAGTCGCCATTGTGGTAGTCTATGACGGTAGATTCGGAGGAGAAAGTCATCGAAGAGGATATACTTCCTGAATCGGATGTGAAAAGTGATGAAGAGAACAAAGGAGACAATGATAAGAATGATGTTGATCTAGGTACTGGGCTCAAATTAAAAGGGTTTGGAGATGGGCTCGAGTGGCCAATGACAGTGGACACGTTTTAATTAAGAGCTACTTGGAGCTCAAGAATGGTGTGTGTATTGTGTTTGTTTGCATGTTGATTGAAGAAGCAATTAAAATTTCATGACATGTTTTAGCACTTTTGCTGAAGTTTCTATATATAGGGTGCGAAGGAGATTTCGATGCTAGTGACTGATGCTAGTGACCAGAGAGTCTTAAGAACAGGAGATATAGGTGACAATTCGGTGACAATTGAAGTCGAGGTCCAATTGCGTTTGATTCAAACAGTTGGACAACCCAATAAGATGTTACCACGAATGAAATTGCTACTTTCAAAAAACAAAACCAATTGAGCTTTGTAAAATCAGGGATAGAACATGTCTTGAAAGTTCAAGACCATTTTGCTGGTTTGGGATCAGGATATCTTGTAATAATTATATAGAAATGGTGCGTTCTCTGAACACAAATCATAAGTGATCTTCCAGTATTAATCAGTATCCAGTTGGCGCCAGGCCTTCATGATACTTTCGTTTGAATTTTATGAAAGGATATCTAGATTGTGTTTGTTCTGCAAACGTGTATGGAGTGGGTCCTGCCAGTGCTTACTATGGATAGCGCTGCTAGAAGCCGAAAGTTAATTGATTGTATCTCTTCAACATAATCTTTGACTCAAAACTTCCTTTGCACTCCAATGTCTGGCTCGCAATCTTTTCCTGGAAAGGTCCAATTGACAACGTCCGATTTATCAAATATTTCTTCCAGCTCATTCAGCGATCCAAATCCAAGCAGTGATAATTCTCCATTTGAGATCAGTCGTTTCTGATCTTCCTCTGGCATACCATTACTCCTAATCGCTCCTCCTTATCCCTGGAGCGCTCTTCTACCAATAACTCTTCAAGAATTGAGGTACCTTTGACACAAAATATCTTTGCAATGAAAGCTGTTGCAAAGCAGACATCGGTTCTCAGAGAATCCACAGCTACAGACGGATGCTGCTGCATCTCTTTGCCCCCTTTTCCCCCACTTGAAACACTGCAATGCGATATTGATACTGCTTCAACTGAAGAGCTCCGCAAAGCTCTCCGGTATTGCAATCAGAAAGTCGAAGAACTCTCTATTTATCTACTCCGGGTGGTAGAAATGCATGCCATCGAAAAGGGAGCACGGGAGGGAAATGGGGATGAGCTGGAAAGAGAATGTATAGAGCTACCATGGCTAGTGGAAACTACCCCCACGCATGGTGATCCGAGCGATAAAAGCATCTTCCCCATCTAGCTCTTTTTTGGAAAGGGAACGCAGTGATCACTCACTTTTGCAACGCAACGTACCCACTCCTTCATTCTTGAGACTGAACATCAACTAGCTTTCCTCAGAGTAGTGTTGCCGGGAGGGGGACTCAAGGTGCAAATTTTGGAACTCTGCTATCTATATGGGATGTAAATACGTGCGGAAGTGGGCCATCGCGCTTCGCGCGTGGCATGTACGAGTCCTCATTGGAATTCTTCAGCTGTACATACTCATAAAAGATATGTACATGTTGGCTGAGACTTATGGGTCAGCATCACTATCTTTAAAGGTGCGGACAGAGAAGAATGGGCACCTTTCAGGTGCCGAAGGAACATCATCAGTCACATTAGCAGGTCATGTGCCTTCATCAGTCACAGCTCAAGGAAATAGCGGAAAAGATCAGTCACATCAGCAGGTCATGTGATTTTTATTAGTCACAGCCCAAAAAAGGCAGATTGCACCCCCAAAAAAAGAATTAGTCACAGTCTCCCACATTTTGCTCCCCCATAAAGACGAATCCTACATTTCATTTCGGACTCGTAATTTTGTGACAGTGTGATGTCTCACGAGTGTGACTATATGCATATCTGTCTGTAGTAAATAGTGTGTGTTCACACAAACCTCTTCAACCATCTTGCTTATAATGGGACACTTCAGCTCGCGGCACGCATAGGGTGTGCCATATTTCTGCTCCCAGGCAAAGTGTGAAGTCCACAACAGTGGGTGCCTACTAGTTATATGTTGGATTAGTACTTCGTATGCTTGCTTTGGTACGTGCGACTATTGTTCCGGCCACCGAACTCGACTACTCCTATTTACTCGATCACCTTATATACATGATACTACCGTTTGTACTCCCTCAGTTGTTTCCCTTATCAACTGAGGTGAGATTACTTATCTTTCTTTCCTTCATCTAGTTTTACTAAAGTACTATAGTATTCATTCAACAGGTACTTAGAAATACTAATATAGTTGTTTCCCTTATCAACTGAGTATTCATTCAACAGATTATGAGACTCGAGTTCAACTGAGCTTAGGAGACAAACTCACATATTGATTACAGTCAATCATTATCCTTTATCTTTGAAGCTATGTCCTCCACAGCTAGTTCGCTGTCGATCCCGCGCTTCCCCGAATCATCTCAATTGGCTGGCGAGAATACCTGGCGAATTTTCAAAGACCAAGTCCTCGCACATATTGAAGTTAGGGAATTGGAAGGATACCTTGATGGTACTATTATTCGACCTCCTGCTGGTGGCTATGTCTCCACATCTACATTGTACCCTCCTGCCTCTACAACAACACCAGTGTATAGTCCTACCCCTTTTCCACATGAATGGCATCAACGTGATAGGATGGCAGCCAGCATTATATATCTCAACATTGTCGATCTCATCGGACTAGGTGTCGAACGCGAAAAACCTGCGTATCATATCTGGGCTGAACTAAAGAAGAAATATGAGCGACGAGATGAGATGTGGGTACATCAGGCCGATACCAAACTCCGGTCTGCCCGATTTGACCCCAGCAATACAACGATTGAAGAACATGAAAAGACGATGAAAAATCACCTTAAAGAACTCCGAAACTTGGGTGGTTCCTGTCTCGACTCCCAATTTTGCCTCATTGTAATCGCCTTGATGCCTAAGTCATGGAGAGATCTCTTAATCAATATCAAGGGAATCTCGAGTGACGATGCCTTTATTCACCTTCGCCAAGTCTATGACAACAAAAAGGAAGACGAGGATACCCGACAGCGTAGTCAGGTCCGAGCTCTCATTGCTCAGGAAATGGCCTCTTTCCACTCTGCAAATACCGCATCTGCTCCCAAGAAGGATCGCCCTACCTGTACCAATCCTAACTGCCCTCCGCGTCGATGTCGTACTCATACAGTTGACAAATGTTGGGCACCCGGTGGCGGTAATGAAGGGGGGGGGCCTAAGAAAGCTGAAGCTTCAGCAACTCAAACCGCAAACTACGCTAGTGACAGTGATCGTACCATCATGGAACTTTTCGATTTGTGTACGTCGTCACCAACACCCATTCTATCTACCCAACTTCCTAATGCCCATACCTGCAGAGACTGTGTATCAGTATCAACAGGGTATGGTGCAGATAAAGAGGTTACGTACCATGTAGACATGTCCAATTCTTCCATTTCCGACTCGATCCTTGATGAATATACTGCTTATTCGGCCCATAACGCGAGATCTTTCCTATATGCTGCATCCAAACCTCAGACACCTCAAACCTTTCTCGATTCGGCCGCAAGTGATCACTTCTGGGTTCGAAGAGCCGACTTTGTTGAGTATGAGAATCTATACGGAAAAGCGGGGAAGTCAGCCATTGCTGGAAAGGCAGGGGAATTTGAGATTCATGGGAAAGGTATCGTGGAATTTGAGACAGCCGTTAACGGGATAAGAAGACGATGCCGATTGAACAATGTCTACCATACGCCATCCTTTCATCACAATCTAATTTCGTTAAGGACATTAGATGCTAAAGGAATGAAAGGGGAATGGGGTAAAGGATCACTTACTGTACGAACTGCAGATGGAAGTATAGTCATGCAGGGCGAAGGAAAGGGGACAATGTATGAGGTGCAAGCTCACTTCGAGTCTTCATTCGCCAACTACGCGAGGTCACATAATAAACCTGTCGACATTCATACGTGGCATCGCAGACTTGGGCATCCTGCTATTGATTGAATCCTTCAAATGCACAAACTGAATCTGGTCGATGGCTTGCAAATTACTTCTAAGAAAGCAGTCGGTAAATGTGAACCATGTATTCTTGGCAAATCGACTCACCGACCTTTCGATGAGAAACTCACGCATGAAACCAAGGTCCTTGAACGAATACACCTCGACCTTTTCGGCCCAACTCGAACACAGAGTATCGGAGGGGCTACGTAGATGTTCCTTGCAACAGATGGTCGTTCCTCTATCAAGGCGCCGTCATTCCTAACCAATAAGCGAAAGGAAACAGTCTTGGCGGCGATTCACGACTGGCGTACAATGGCTGAGCGACAAACAGGCTTGAAGGTTTTGATATTCCGGATAGATGGTGGTGGGGAATTCGATAATGGATGGTTTAGAGATTATTGTCGCGAAAACGGTATCGTTATTGAAATGATACCACCTAGGTCTTCGTCAGCTAATGGAGTAGCCAAAAGAGCGAATAGAACTGTTCTAGATGGTGTCAGAACTTTTCTCGTCGACGCTGGTTTTCCTCCTTCGATGTGGGCCAAAGCAGCACTCACCTTCTGCTATGTGAACGCGTTTATCCCCTCCTCTCGTTTCCCAGATGAAGTCCCAATCGAAATTTATACGAAGAAACGTCATGACGTTTCTCATCTTCGACCTTTTGGTTGTAAATGCTGGGCGACACTGGATGCAATCCAAACCGATGGAAAACTCGGCGTTAGAGCAGTCGAAGGTCGATTTGTTGGATATATTGGAAGACGAGGATATCGAATCTGGTTACCACAGACCAGAACTTTCCATGAATCCCGCAGTGTCGAATTTGAGGAGGGTGACCCTCGTAGATCTGCTCCCGCGGTACCAGATGAAGTTGATGGTGAGATGCTTGGTGATGTCGACGTCGGTTCGGCTCCAGATGCCGTGCCTGTTACACCGGCTAACGAAAATCAAAATCAAAATCCCGACTTATCCATTCCCTTGATGCCTACTACTCCGTCTACTCCTGATTATGAAGGACTACCTGAATTATTCGCACCTCAAATTCCCCCTCCTTGTAAGACCTGGGTCAAAATAGGTCTTAGGGTAGGTTTGGTATATGAAGTTTTATGTTGTAGCGTGCTAGGAGCAGGCTGGAGCTCGAAGGGAGCTACGAGAACCGCGACCGAGGACGGGAATGACCTTGTAGTGCCTGGAACGACGAGATGATGACCCTTGAGGGGGTTCCTAGGAGGTCCAGGGAGGTCCCTAAGGCATAGGGAGGTTAAGGAAGAGTGCGGGACCGTACGGTATTGCGTAGTAGGAGTTGTACTCGCTAGAACGTCAATATAGGATCGAGTAGGTCATATATGCAACTGGGTCTCGAGAGTGTAAGCTCCCGAGAAGGGATATGTCAGGGAGGGTAGGTCCCTGGGGGCTGAGCTTGAGGATGGACGTCCTCGAGTGTGGGAGGTGGTAACGGAGAAGCAATACGTAGTTCGACGTGAGGGGTAGCTTCGACGTTACCTAGATCGAGGTCCCAAAGCTTACGAAGTAGCTAGGGAGCTCTGGGAGGTTTGGGGAAGGGTAGCTCACCAAGGCGGGTAGGCGTTGGGGAGCTTTAGTAATGTTCGAGGGAGCTCGGGGACTCACTCGGAAGGCTTAGACTTGAAGTGAAAGTGTATATTCGATCGTATAGACGATCAGAGAGACAATAGACAGAAGTAGAGAGAAACAGAGGTAGAGAAACAGAGAGTAAAGAGAAATCCGTATGGTTAGCAGGTACAAAGGGACAGGGACTGGACTTATGCAAAAGGGTGTGTGTTCAAAATATACCAAGCTGGGGCTTCAGGACATTGCGGCGTTACTTAAATAGGTACGGGAAGTGAACAAGAGAACATCTGGAGGCATGAGGTAGCTAATCGGAGGGAGGGAGGTAATCGAGATTAATACTTAAAGGGGTTATTGGCTAGAGGGCTTTCGTACGCGTGCCGGGGTGAAGGACGTTTGGGTAGCTGCGTCAGAAATACTTGGGGAGGTGTCTGGTGGTACTTGGGGAGGTGCAGAGGACATACAGGAGGTGGGTAGGACGTATGGCAACGTGTGGTGGGTACTGGGACTGGTCTGGTTGTAGCCAGGGCATGACACTCCTCAGCCCCTACAGCAAGTACAAATACCCATTCAGCCCATCCATGAACCAGACATCGGTCCTAGATGCGGTACTCGTATACGTGGGCCATCAGCTCGTCAACTACAGTTTCAGGAGTCGGCTGAACGGGAGCAAAGTGCTTTGGAACAAAATCTGGCTTGGGCTCAAGACTCTGGTACAGGTATAGACGAACTCGAAGAAAACTCGCTAGCGATGGTTGCAAAGAGTCCTTTTGCTTTTGCTGCTGAATCGAGTGACAAATGGGTCCCGAATACTTACAAACAGGCGATGCGACGTCCCGAACTTTGGAAAGCTCCGATGCAGGCTGAATACGACACGTTAATCGAAAAGGAGTGTTGGACGTTGGTGGACCTACCTCCGAATGCGAATTTTACGGGCGGGAGATGGGTTTATGCCATTAAATGGTCAAAAGATGGCGAGGTAGCGAAACGAAAAGCGCGTTATGTCGCACAAGGCTTCACGCAGATTGAAGGGGTTGATTACGACAAGACTTATGGTGCTGTGGCACGTATGGAATCTGTTCGTATAGTCCTTGCGATCATTGCTGTCCTAGGCCTGTTCATGTTCCAGGTCGACTTCAAAGCTGCTTTCCTTAACTCACCTATCAATCACGATGTGTATATGAAGCAACCTGAGGGTTTTGTCAAGGAGGGTGAAGAACATAAGGTGTGCAAACTCAACAAATCAATCTATGGGACTATGCAAGGTAGCCACGACTGGCAGGACACCTTAGGCAAAGGATACGAGGAGGACGGGTATATTGCTTCGAAAGCCGATCCCTGCGTACGTTACCGTCGAATTGACGATGAATACACCCTCTCAACTACATATGGCGACGATGTGAATGGCGCTTCTTCGACAGAAAGTGGTAGGAAGAAGGCGATCGCTGATTTAGGAAAAAGATGGGAATCGAGTGAGGTTAATTCGGGCGTACTCCTAGGAATGACAATTTTTCAAGATCCGATTTCTAAATCTATCACTATATCGCAAAGATTTCTAAATCTATCACTATATCGCAAAGGGCATACTTCGAACGTATGCTGGAACATTTCGGATTGGAAACAGTCTGTACCCGACACACCCCATTAGATCCCAAGGCAAAAATCACTGAATCTCCCAATCCACTACCCGAAAATGACCGCAGGTTCATGTCGAACAAACCTTACCGTTCGTTCATAGGATCCATACTCTGGGGTGCTTGTTCAACAAGGCCGGATATTGCATTCGCCTCGAATTTCCTCGCTCGATTTCAACTTAACCCTGGTATTATTCATTGGCAGGCTTGTGAATGGCTGGCGGGTTATATTCGTGGAACTATTGATTACTCTATCACCTATCGAGCTCCTAAGCCTGGAGATGACCGCCTTGGCTATGGCCTCGCCCCTTTTGGTTACTCGGACAGTGATTGGGCTTTGTGCTTAACAACTCGACGATCCACTGCAGGCTATGTATTCTTCATGGGTGGTGCTCCGGTGTCCTGGGCATCGAAGAGACAGGGATCCGTTGCACTATCTACTGTGGAAGCGGAATATATTGGTCTCTCGAAAACCTGTCAACAGGCATGTTGGCTACGCTCATTCATTCAGGAGATTGATCTTCCACTCGCTGGGCCTACAATTATTCACAGTGATAATTTCGGTTCTGTATCACTAACGGAGGAGCCCAGGAATCATTCGTTGATCAAACACATTGACATGCGTGAGCACTACATCAGGGAGAAGGTTAAAGATGACAGCGTGAAAATTGTTCGAGTCCGTAGTGGTGAGAATGTTGCAGATATCACGACGAAAGCTCTTTCAGGACCTACACATGCCCGAATGGTTCAGATGCTTAACCTTGAGCATACGCAGTAGGGGGGGTGTTGGATTAGTACTTCGTATGCTTGCTTTGGTACGTGCGACTATTGTTCCGGCCACCGAACTCGACTACTCCTATTTACTCGATCACCTTATATACATGATACTACCGTTTGTACTCCCTCAGTTGTTTCCCTTATCAACTGAGGTGAGATTACTTATCTTTCTTTCCTTCATCTAGTTTTACTAAAGTACTATAGTATTCATTCAACAGGTACTTAGAAATACTAATATAGTTGTTTCCCTTATCAACTGAGTATTCATTCAACATTATACCGTCTATTTGCGTATGATCGTCGATTGAGCAAAATCTTTGAATGATATCACGTGATCGCGTAATGGCTGTGCGTGCTAATTAGAATTTGTGCTGCAAATTTGTTTCTTCTCGCCACGATGGACGCTGCAGACACCACCAAAGATGCCACGGAAATTACCCTCGGGCGTAACCGGGATAGAGAGAGGGATAGGGACGGTGAATATGACAGAGATTGTGACAGAGACTACAATCGTCGAGATAGCGGTGTGTACAACAATATTATATTTTGACGTCCGCTCCTCATCTCACTTAGGCGTAAGTCAACGTCGAGGAGATCATTGGGAGCCCGAAGAACGTCGGAATAGGGATGTGAGTAAAACCTAAGCTTGGCCAAGTAGAGTTAATGAACTGGTGGACAGCGTCGCCGGCGTTCTTGCTCCCACTCTAGGAGACCCTCGGCTTCACCACGTCGACAAAGCCGTCACTCTCCCTCACGCTTTGGGAGCCCACGGTCTCGTAGTCACTCCAGGATCAGAGAGCGCAAGGGCGCCGAATCCTTTGTTCGTTCTTTGGGTGGCCCCATGAATGCAGAGCACGAAGAGGCCCTGAAATTCGCAAAAATCAGCAAGAGAGAAAATCGCGTCTACGTTGGCAATCTCAACTATAAAATTAGATATCGCGATCTCATGGAATTCATGAGGGCAGGTAGGTGGGGAATCTTTTGTATATTTAAGTCTGTAGTGGCGAAAGAGAGAATGCGGTTGACATAAGTGAACGCGTTGTTTTTGTCTTTTTTTGTTTGGAAAATGGAGATGCAGAGAGGATATTGATGGGATTTCCTTTCTGGATTGGCAGCTGGAGAAGTTCTATTCGCCGAAGTCTTGGTGACGCCCATGGGAGTTTCTAAAGGATGCGGGTATGTTGCACCCATGTTCATCACCTATATGCTTAATTTTATCTACATAGCATCGTGGAATTTTCATCTACCGAGGCTGCGCAGCGTGCTATCCGTGAACTTTCGGAGATGCCATTACTTGGACGACCGGTTTACATTCGAGAGGTATGATACTTCTTTTGTCCTTCATACAGCGAGCTTAGACCACACAGGATCGTGAAAATGATTTTCGTTTTGGAGCTACCCCAGTTCCTGGTAAGATGGGTATGGCGATGGCTGGGCAGGGTTTCTTTGGTCACACTCAAAATGATCCCGGCAATCAACTTCACGTTGGAAATGTACGTTCGTTTGACCTTCTATTTATTTTTACATCAATTCTGCTTTCTAGCTTCCCTATCAGACGACATGGCGAGACCTCAAGGATTTGTTTCGCACAGCCGGAAATATAATATGTGCAGACATCGACATTGGAGCGGATGGTCGTCCCAAAGGTTCTGGTACAGCTGTATTCGAGACTCCCAAGGACGCTCAGCAAGCCATTAGTGAGTAGTATCTTCTTACCACGAATCCGATTGATTATCCTCATCATAGGCATGTATCATGGCTTTGAATGGTATGGGCGTGTTTTGGAAGTCCGCGAGGTATGCAAACACCAGCAGGTTTATCTATATTAACAACTTGATATCAGGACCGCTTTGCTGGTCTAACTAGAGCAGGACGCGGAGGCTTCCGTGGCGGACTTCGCGGTGGTTTACGTGGAGGCTTCAGAGATGGCATGCAAGGAGGTTTCGGCGGCGGACCCGGTCGTGATTTCTCCAACAGTGAGTTATATGCAGACTACTCAGGACCCGATCAGCATGTTCCGGGTTTGAGAATAGACAACTATGGTGGCGGGTTTGGCGCCGGTATGGGTTATCGAGGTTATACTGAACCCGAACCAAGTCAGCAGATCATGGTTCGCAACGTACGTATAGCATTGCTGATCAGCGTAACTTTCTCACTTTTGTCTACAGTTGCCATGGTCCACTACGAATGAAGATCTTGTCGAGCTGTTTGAAACCACGGGTCAAGTTGAGTTGGCGGAGATTCTGCTGGAAGGTACTCGCTCCAAGAATCGCGGTGTAGTTCAATTTGCTCAGGTGACAGAAGGCGAAACTGCTATTGGTGAGTGCCTGCTGGTCTTGCATACTACCCATTCTCAATGCTTCGTTCGTAGCAAAATTCCAACAATACATGTATGGCGGCCGACCCCTGGGTATGTTTTATTTTACTTATCTTCTTGTCACCACTAATTGATCTTGCGAAGACATTCGGTTCAATGACCGTTGGCACACCTTTACCACGGCTGCTGCCAAGGGAGGGGTCAACCTCCTCCCAGACTAAAATTTCTCCAACCATCACTTTGTCAAATGCATGACCTTGCCATCTGTCGACAGGAAAATCGCAGTCGCTATGTCTGAACCACGGGAACTCAGGACATTCCGCATCGCATCAGGAATTTCAGTGCCTCCAAAGTTTGCGTCCGTATGTTCAACGAGACTTGTCTTGGAATTGATGGAACACTATTAGCATATGACCATACTGCATCACATTATTTTCCTCTTGAACATAATTTTGATTTACTTCCGGTGTTTACCGCATGCAGCGTCTGTAACAAGTAGGTAGAATGTATGAAGGGTATAAATCTAAAAGCTCACCAATTTGTTCAAGATAGTGCACGTACTATGCTTTGAAGTCAACCTATCGCTGTTCGCAAATCTACTTCAATCAACTCGCCTTCGAAACCCATTCTTGGATGATTGAAACAGAAAAGATAGCACAATAGCGATAACAATATCATCAACGGTAGCGATAACGTTAACGACGATAGAAAGACTCTTTGGAATGATTGAGACCAATTGAATACAGTACACACAGTACGTCAGCGAACTCGTAGTTGGGGTACCATTTGCGAAAAAGTTTCGACCGTGGCCAGCCTACACATGCGTTTAACGATAACAGCAAAGAGCGAGTATATTGTACTTACGCGATTGAAATGAAAGCTACATCGATCAGTGTCAGTCCCAGTAATCGAGATCGTTTTATGTACTTGCCTATAACACAACCTATGCGAAACGTGAACATGGTCATTTTATGAGGAATATGCAGTGAAAATTTGAATATGACGTGCCAGCTTGTGCAACAGCAACAAATTCCTACACCACCTATCGAATCGAATCATGACTACCTCACTTGAAGGGTATGAATGAGTAGTCCTCATACGCTTGACAATCTTCAAATTCGAAGTCAGACACGATGTAACAGGACATGACATCTTATGTTTTAGGGAAGGATGTATTATTTTTTGTGTAACGATTATGCATCGACCTGCACTGACACCGTTATCATTTGTTAATGACATGTAGGTAGAACGATCGGATGAACGTTAGGTGGGAGACTGTAATCGTACTGGTCATTGAAAATTTCCGGAAACATTGATGAAATGGACGGTAACGTGGGTTGGTTTAAAGACAGATTCTCATGCGATGCGACTGCACATAACGTGCATTCAGCATTAGCATCGGATGATTTCATTGCGTCGACAGAAGGTGCAATCTGCATCTGTGCCTCGTTTGGAACAAATCCAAAAGTAACGTCGAAAGACCTATTCATATCTGCGCTGGAAGCGGTCATTGATCGGGGTTCGTTTCGATTGGGAGGATCTCTGAAAAGCCATTTAAAATAACGTTTCCATCTCCAACGATGTTGAGTGAAACATACAGGTCAGTTTCGCCTAGTATAGACTGTACCTCGAGTCTCCTACGTTTTTGCAATCGCCTTCGATACTAAGAGAAAAATTAAGTATCGTCGTTAACACAGTGCCAAAGATAGGCTTACTTCGTACCATGCCTGGAAACGTCCCGTTACATTCACATGCATAATAAATCTTTCACTGTGCTCACCTTTATCTGCGACGGTGTTAAACCTGTTTCATCTGCCAATCGACCGAGTACTTTGTTCGTAACATAATCTGCCTAGAAAAATTGCGCGACTTCTGATCATTCAATTTCAGTGACATCTTACCTGAGTGAATGTTGACCGTAGTATCTCTAATTGAGAATCGTTCGGTATGTACCTACGGCGCATAATCCCTTTTGATTTCTCGTTGTTGGATATGCCTGTACGACACCGACAAAGTGTGACTAAGATAATGAGAAGAAACAAGTTCTGAACGATGTACTCTGGAAAAAGAAACTTCTAGTATTTCAGGTTTTCAACAAACGGTGGTGATGATCGTTGAAAGAGAAGTAAGAGATGAAACGGCTTTCATAATAAAAAATCCAGATAAGTTATTATAGCAGATCGCACTGACTCAATCATCGTCTTCGCAATACCTCCATGACCCTACCTTTACATCTACTGAGCTGACATCGTTCGAGCGCGGATCTACAGTCTTGATGGAACATAACATATCGCAACCTATGGATAAAACGATACTCAACTGCTCCTTGTAAAGACTACCTCCCGATTCGAGTCACATTGCAAAGCGCTAATGTGCATTCACCACAGTTTAGCTTTGTATAATTGAAGAACCTCAAGGAACTAGCATTAAGTTCGTAACAAATACATTCCTTCGCTGAAGCTGCATTCTGGAATTCGCAGCACATTTCGAATGTACAAGTAAGCAGTGCCTAATTTGTCGTAAAACGATTCGCACTCACCTTGCCTTGTTTTCATGTTCGTAGTATGCGATTATGCGACACTGCTATATGTTCGTGTTCCTTCAGTTGTCAAGTTGTCAAAGATGGGAGTAATCACCAATTTTTGTACGCGATCAATTGCCTGTAAATGAAGAGATGCTGTTGGGTTCGAATAATTTGAGTCAATCCGATTTCGTGCGTTGCCTTGTATCCCTTCGTAAATCGAGCTCGCCGCTAAAAGTACTGAGTGGCGTTCATCTGGAAAATTCTCAAATGTTATGCCAGATTCGCATGACATATGTCATCGTACCGCTCTGAAAAATCAACAGTGTCGACATTAGAACACAACTACATCCGTTTTCTTTGATGTATTGAACAATCTATTGCACAATTCTCAAGCAAACTTCATTGCAAGCCCTGATCATTTCCTAATGCGCAATCATGTTGAAGGAACGGGCTCGGTAGGTCAAAGCGTACCTTACCATAGGAGTCCCGCCGGAGATTCTAGTCTCCTAAGTATACCTATCTATCTCTCTTCTCTTTGATTCCGTTGTTCCTGTTTCCAAGTTTCATTTATTCATACACGTATCATCTCCTCTCTTCTACTTATTGAAACAACCGATATGCTGCGCAAGATCGGTTGTTACGGACATCATACATATTTATATGTACCTTTCTTATCTTCTCCCCCAGTTCTTGGACATCTATTTGTGTAGAGCTGAGGGTTGGTCTTATATCCTATTATACCTGTTTCGAAGCTAACTATCTTATTAGAATATTATCTAAGTACTTCATATAACAGGTACTTTCAATAAACGAGTTCTTTGACATCTATTTGTGTCGAGCTGAGGAATTATCTAAGTACTTCATTTAACAGGTTATGGGCCCCGCCCGCTGAAGTAACTACTCGATATCAAGAAACACCGTCACCTCATCCTTGCGTCCTGAAACCTTGATATGGCTAGTAACGGAGCTATACCACCTCCGATTCCAGAGGTTTCCGCAGACCTAAATTTTGATGGAGGAGTCAAAGTTAGCTGGGCTCCCGTCAAAAGAAGGATTGTGAACTCACTAAAGACCCAAGGCCTGCTCGGATACACCGACGGGTCCATCCCTAAGCCCCCAATCCTACTCCCTGCTCCCCCTAGCGTTCTCTCGACTTCTTCAACTTCCCCCGATGCCGCCAAAGCAACTCCTGTCTTCTCCCTAAACCCTTCCCTGGAGGAATGGGTATTCCGAAACGACCGCGCTAAAGGGATTGTTGAGTCTCATATTGATGATCTGCCTTCCCTAATGCCGAACGTGGATGGTAGATCTGCGAAGGAAGTCTTCGAAGCTCTTGAATCAGAATTTGCTATGAGGGATGGGATGCGCAAAGTTCTTACTGAACGCCGCCTCCGCTCCTTTGTATTCCAAGAGACCGAGCCAATCGAAGAGTTCTTCAAGCAGCTACGAGAAATTAGAAAGGAGGCAATTGAAGCTGGAAATACCATTGACGACAAAACGTTCCGACAAATTGTAACTGCTGCTTTCCCTACTTCGGCGTTTGATGCAATCATTCAGAACATCACAGCCAACGAGGTACTCTACCCGACGTCAGCCACTGTCATTCAACAGATCTCCTTCCAATATTCTCGAGTTGAGAACCGTCCCGATGCTGTTGCACCAGGTGACCGCGTCGCCCAAGCCCATATGTCAATGTCTCCACAATCAGCGTTGATGCTGAGAATCGAACAATTGGAAAACCTGGTGGCAGCTAAAGTGGCAAGGTCAGGAAATAGTGATAAGAAATGTCTAAATTGTGGACGTACGGGTCATGTCAAAGAAGACTGCTTCAGGAAAGGAGGCGGGAAAGAAGGACAGTACCCAGCCTGGTGGAGAGGGAAGAAAGATCTAGCTATCCCCGCTAGCTCATCCACGAACTCGCCGGCGACGTCTATGGCCATCGGCGAACTCAGCCAATATTATGCCATGATGGTCAAGCTGAGGGTTGAACCTGATCTCAAAGAACTATATGCCGACTCAGGTGCATCCGACCACTTCTTTCACAGTCGCGACGACTTTATCACCTACATCCCTTGTGACCGTATGGGACGATCGTCCGAAAGGTCAACCCCACTTGAAATAAAAGGGGTTGGAAGAGTCAAGAAAGTGGTCATCGAGAAAGGCAAAGAGGTGGTACTTATCTTTGAGGATGCCCTTCACTGTCCAAATGTCGCCTCCGATCTGATTTCCATAAGCAAACTCGATAAGCTTGGGTACGAGATCCACTTCGGAAAAGGATGTGCTAAATTCTTCTCACCTGGGGGAACCCACTTCCTAACTAGCTATGGGTCCGGCGGACTATACAAACTAGAGGGAAAAAATCCCTCTACAGCTAAATCCATGATCGTTAAACAAGCCAACGGACCTAGCCACATGGCATCGCCGTCTCGCTCACGCCGGAGCCCATCGAATCGATTTGTTGAGGAAAAGGAACCTCGTCGATGGATTTGTCACGAAAGAAGGAGAAGGGTTGGAAGGGAAATGTGTGAACTGCTTACAGGGAGCGGCTACACGTCGACCTTTCGACGCATTGGTCCCTATAAAAAGCGAGGTGTTAGCAAGCGTACACGTTGATCTCACGGGTCCAATGCGCACCATGGCCAGGGGAGGATATTACTATTCTCTCCCCATTGTTGACGATTGTTCCTCTTTCGACAAGGATTACTACACCGGCAATAAAAAAGCTGACACGACTCTTGCGTGCATTGATGGATACAGGGTACTAGCCGAAAGGCAAACTGGGAAGAAGCTGAAATGCATAAGGATCGATGGAGGAAAGGAATTTATTAACGAGAAATGGCAGAAATGGGCCGACTCACTTGGTATCAGACTCGAGCATACCCCTGCATACTCGTCGGCGGCAAACGGGGTCGCTGAACGCAAGCACGCCATTACATTTGCTAAAGTAAAGTACGTGTCATCCTTGATGAATCAGGATTACCAGCTTCCTTGTGGGCGATTGCAGCAGCGTACGTTGTTTATACTGAAAACCTGCTGCCTTCTTCTCGAAGTGGATTCCGCATCCCCGCCGAGGTATTCCTAGGCAAACGACACAACATATCGCATCTGAGACCGTTTGGAGTAAGAGGTTGGGCAACAATAGTTGACAGAACGCCGGGGAAACTGGATACCAGAGCTGTGTAAGGGAAGATGGTGGGATATGGGGAGAGAGGAGTATACTTGCTATACTTACCCTCTGGAAGAATCATTACCAGCCGAGACATTGTCTTTGAGGAAGGTTGTCCTAACCGAACATTGTCGCTAGCCGTAGGGGAGGAGGATATGGAAGAAGAGGAAGTAACGCCTAGCTCCACTGACAATACCGACAATACTAAACCCTCAACGATCACGGAGTTAAGAACGCCGATCAATCCCTCGAGAATTCAAATATACAACCAACCAAGAAGACTCGTGTGAGATTCAGAGCCGACCCAGACGTTCCTCTTCGTCGGTCTACTCGTCTTCAAACCTCTCAGCAACCTCCTCATGCCACCTTCGCCGACTTCATTGATGAACTCAACGAATTCTCACACGAATTTAACCCTGCTTTCTCTGCCCTAGGAGTTCCTCCTGTTCCAAAAAGTTATGCCAAGGCTACATGCGATTGAGGGCCACTGCACGGCTGTGCATGGCATTCACTTGGCCAATGGAACCAATACATTGAAGTATTTGGATTAATTGTAAGTCAAAGATTTAGGGCGCGTGGTTAGCACCACACGCAACCTCCTCAATTCTCCATGTACAGTGCTTTGCGAAATGGTTTGCTTGTATGGATTTTTTACCAAGTGTTTATTGTTTTTTAGTTATTTGTCCAATACATTTTTGGGCCGAGGCTCGAGAGGGAGGACCACCAGCGCCGTCGGGCTTCAAAAAGTGATTGATGAATCCTTTTTGGGGTAAAAATATATTGGACAAATAAATAACACAAATAGATGTGAAAAAGTCGAGCAAGCAAAGACTTACGCAAAGCACTGTATAGCATACAGTGCCAACAGGCACTTCTCATCACCCGATCAACCGTAAAAAGTACAAATTCTTAGAATTTTTTCAGAGCTTGTAGTTAACATCGGAATATAGCCAAATTATGCTCATTTGACTTGTAGAAGATCTATATACCTGGCTTGTGCTTTGCTAAGCCTATGGTCAACTTTTACTTTTACCCCCACTGACCGAAAATGAACCAGCTTAGTCATCGCCTAATTAGGAAGGTGCCTTCCATATATGGAAGGTACACGTGGTCACTACATCATAAGGACACGATGTTCCACAGGTGTACGGTGATGGCTGGTATATTTCTTCACAGCATGTTCAGCCTGTTTGATACTGAGCCCATGTCTGAGGAAACAGTAGAAATTAGAGCATGTAGGAATACTTCCAAAGGAAGTTTTCATACTTGTATGC